CTGAAAAGAAAGCGCAAAGTTCGACTTGATTTATGCCATGTCGAGTAATTTGTAGTTTCTCCTATCAATCTAAGAGGAGACAGGCATGAAAAAGTGTCTCAAATCCTGTGATTCTTTTAGACTGACATAATCCACAAATGTCATGTTTGGGATATTTGTTTTAATTTTCTTTCAAACCGACGACAGCATTTGCCGAAGAAACGGCCTTCAGTTTGACAGCAAAATAATAAGATTTCAGTACGCAGAGAGCAAGTCGAGAAATTATCCTTTTAAAATGTTGGAAGTTCTATTTTTTGCTAACCTAGTTTCATTTTTTTTATTTTTGGAAAATATTTTAAATCAAACACCACCTTGAATGGGATAGTTAGAAATGTAATACTTCAATTAACAGATAACTCTTTAGAAATGTTACTCTTAATAAAACTATAGCGGAAAAAATAATGAAAAACAGAAGAAATTATCCCCCTTTAATAAGAATTAAATCCCTTGATATCCAAGGGAGTGAAGCGGGTTTTGTTTACACTTGCGCGTTGCTATGGAGCAACTCCAGTGGACGCCATGTTGGCTTTAGGTGTCCGAGCGTGAGTATGAAAGGACCTGTTCATCCACTGGATACTGCGTGTCCGATGACTGGACATTGGGGGGGGGGGGAGGGGGCTTTTCGTCAGGCAAGCTACGAATTGGATTACTTATAGATTTATCTTGGTGCGACTGAATTTTTTTTTTACTTTAAAAAAAAAGTAAACCCCGACAGCGTGAATGTCAATGGATATTTTTAGACCTGTGAGTTGGTTAGAGAATAAAAGAGCTCGTTTAGTTCACGAAAACGCTCCGGCAGAAAATTAACCCCTTGCTCGCTACGGCGTGTGTAGTTGTTAACCCTGTTTTGGCCGGGAGATTTGGACGTTTTATCATTTCCGTCAGAGAAGACTGTCCAGTGTTTGCCCGAGAAGTACCAGGATTCCGTGCCTAAAGAATTAACTGTGTAGTCGAGGTTTTTAGGTTTCCGAAATTTCAAGAGAGTATTGAGTCAGTATAGACATTATTTGCTTCAAACCTCGGCGTCGATGGGCACATTTCTAAGGGCGGGATAAGGAAAGTGAATGGGAATTGAAGTTGACATTTTTCTGTTGTTAAAATAAAAGTAGTTGTGTTGCAGTTTATTGTTCAGTTGACTTGGGATTAGGCAAATGTTTAGGAATCTAAAAGTTTTTGTGATTAAAATAAAAGTCGTTGTGTCGCAGTTTAATACTAAGCTGACTTGATATGACTTAAGTCAGGTTCACGTTGGAGACGGTGGGTTGGAGAGGTCCTAAAGACTCTAGCCGTCATGGCTGGATCGACTCATAGGTGAACACACAGTGGCTCTATCTCCCGACCAACACGTTTCTCATCTTAGGATTGGCGGAGAGTGAGGTAGATGGGTCAGGTAGGGTATACCAGTGGTGGTTAGGTCAGGGGGGGGTGAAAGTTCAACAAACTGTTGGCCAACCAAATAGCTAAGTATGATGGCCAACTAAGTGTTTGGGTCAGAACAGGAGGAAGTTTAAAGTGGCCAAAGATCAATGGAAGGGTTGGGAGTCAGCTGTTTTACCTTTTATCCCATTAAATTTTTACTTTCTCGTATATACAAAGTATAGAGAAAGTCTTGTAATCGTGCGAAAACAAATCAAAATCGAGATTTTTACAAATCTTGACGTTTTACACCTCCCTGGGTCGGAAAAACATATTTGGGCAATCTTGTCCTTATGTCTGTGTGTATGTGTGTGTGTGTCTGTGTGTGTGTCTGTGTGTGTTTGTAAACACGATAACTTGAGTACTTATACAGCTAGGTTGATGAAATGTCATATATAAGTATTTTATCAAAATGGTAGTTCCGTATCAACTTTTGAGCGATTTTCGATAAACGGAAGTGGTACTTTTTCTACTTTGAATGTTTCAAAAGCCTATAACTTAAGTACTATTTCAGATAGATAAATGAAATTTCACATGTAAGTAAAAGATCTAATTCTCTACCTTCTATCAATTTTTGAGTAATTTCCGTTGACTGGAAGTAGTGATTTACGCTATTTCCGATTTCTCAAAACACGCATGTAAATCTATAAAGTACTAATAATATTCCGCTCTATTATGCATATTTTATTTTGGCGTTCGCTTGGAGCGCAATTCTTTTTTTCTACGAGATTCTATTCCTTTTTTTAAAGTTTAAGTAATTAAAAATCATGTCTATATTCCGAGTTGCCATCCCACGTAGTGTTATATAATAATATTCGAGAAAGTTTAGGGGAGATCACTCCCGGTTTATTTCTTTTATTTCGATGTCATATGTCACATTTCTAAAAGGGAGGAGTTGAAAGCTTGTTTTATAAACCCAGCGAGGCATTTCATTAAAAACTGAAATAACAAAATCAAATAGAAATGTTTACGTTCCCGATTTTTCAAATTACTCAACCTTTCCTCTTCTAAATTTCGTTCCATGACGTTTACAAATCTCATTTTTATTCTATTCAAATGCGGCAAAACGTCTTCTACCAGCGTAAAATGTCTCCAGTGTATAACAAACAAGGTCTATACAAAGTTCTTGTTCATAGGAGCACAGAAATATTTTAGCTGTACATTCTGCCTACAATGTAATGAAAAGTTGGATTTTAAAAAGTTAATCGCTAAATAAATTAAATACGCTTCTTTAAAATTGGAAAACAAGATTGTTATTTCCCTTCTAAGGAGTTTCCATTGAACTAATCTCTTACAAACCACGGGTGGTTAATTCTGTCTACAGGATTAACCTCATTGCACCGACATGTTATGTTTTATCAAGCGTTATCTTAATATCTAGGCTAATGTGACGTCATAACTCTCTATAGGCCTACACAATGTGTTCTGAAGAGGTTAATTTATTTTATTTACTAAATAAATATAAAATTGTGTTTTATCAAGCTTTATCAAGGCTATTCTGACGTCATAACTCTCTATACACAATGTGTTCTGAAGATGTTAATTTATTTTATTTACTAAATAAATATAAAATTGTGTTTTATCAAGCTTTATCAAGGCTATTCTGACGTCATAACTCTCTATACACAATGTGTTCTGAAGATGTTAATTTATTTTATTTACTAAATAAATATAAAATTGTGTTTTATCAAGCTTTATCAAGGCTATTCTGACGTCATAACTCTCTATACACAATGTGTTCTGAAGATGTTAATTTATTTTATTTACTAAATAAATATAAAATTGTGTTTTATCAAGCTTTATCAAGGCTATTCTGACGTCATAACTCTCTATACACAATGTGTTCTGAAGATGTTAATTTATTTTATTTACTAAATAAATATAAAATTGTGTTTTATCAAGCTTTATCAAGGCTATTCTGACGTCATAACTCTCTATACACAATGTCTTCTTAAGGATTGGCGTTGTTTTCTTTACTCCAAAAAAATTTGCGTTGTTTAAAAGTTGAAGGAAAAATGCGCTTGTTTGATAAAAGTCTAGTCAACAAAGTCATTAAGTTATCAATTGGTTGTTAGACATGGGGGGGGGGACTAATGTGTTTTTTGTTTGGGTGGTGGGTTAGTTTGTTATATAAGTGTTTTCTTGTAAAGATGGTTTGTGGTTGTTTTTTGGTAAGAATGGATCAAGTTAGTTTATAAAAATAAATATTTTTTTGTTATTGGGGCATGTTGGTTGATAACAATGGTTTGTGTTTGTCATAAGTTCGTGTTTGTTAGCAAATTTATTTTTACATTGTGTTTGTTTGTAAGAACAGTTTGTGTTTGAAAATGATTAGCGGGTAAAATATGAAACCGAAATCTGAGCAGTTTTAGCTCGATTCCCCCCCCCCCCCCCATACAACTTTCTCCTATTTCGTGTTACAAACAAAAAAAACAATCATCTATTTTTTAACATCACTACAATCATCTATATTTATTATCCTAACACTCGTCTATTTTTGTTACCATAACAATCATCTATTTTTATTATCATAACAATCATCTATTTTTATTATCACAACAATCATCTACTGATGTTATCACAACTATCATCTAGTGTTCTTATAACATCATTCACAACTCATCTAGTCTTGGTGTCCTCTCCCAACAGAAACACAACACGGTATTACCGGGATCTACAAACAGCGCGTCAGCTAAAAATAACTATGGCAGAAAAGTGTTGTGAAATTTGGAGTTAATAATTAATGCGCGACGCTTGCTGTTTCAGCAAAGTTAAAGGTGCTGTCCTGGTATAAACCATGTTTGCTTTCGGAAATAGATATACACAATAATACACTGGGATACATTCCACACGGGTAAAATCTAGTACAGATTTTGAAATAGATATATTTTGAAATAGATATATTTCTAAAAAATATTGTTTTCAAAATATATAGAATTGTGCACTTATATGTATGTCCATGATTAAAAAGTAAATAATATTTGTATCTAATTCATATTCATATATGTATATATGTATCTATGTATATTTGTATCTATATATATATATATATATATATATATATATGTATATATATATATATGTGTGTGTGTGTGTATGTATACCTATATATATATCTAAGTATATGTATATATATATATATGTGTGTGTGTGTGTATGTATACCTATATATATATCTAAGTATATATATATATATATATATATATATATATATATATATATATATATATACATATATATATACATATATATATATACATATATATATATATATATATACATATATATATATATATATATATATATATATATATATATATATATATATATATATATATATATATATAATTTATTCATTTTTTTTAATTAGAGTATTTTGTTTAAAAAATTCTGTTTGGAACCGTGTATAGTGTTTTTTTTTATTGTTTACAAGCTGTGTATGTTGCTGTTTTTACAACGTGTGTATGTTGCTGTTTTTACAACGTGTGTATGTTTATGTTTTCCCATAACATCCCCACGGTTATAAATGAAAGTGGTGTACTCACAGTTTTTTCGTGTCTGGGCTAATTCCCTTGGGCACTGACGTCAGGTTCTGAGCGGAACAATCCACTTCCGTGTCGTGACACAGGCATTTCTCGTGGCAGACGACCACCGGGTTCCGGTCCTGATCTCCCGCGCTGAAGAGGGCGTTGAAGCTCCCAATGGCGCCCTCCATCAAGTCTAAACCGGCGTCCCCGCCGAACTTGTTGGAGATGGGCTCGTAAATACTGAACAAATCTGAGCTTGGGATCCCGTGTCGCCCTATCCCACTCCAAGGGAGGTCATCCTCGCTTACCCAGGGGCTCCCGTCTGCATCCCAGGGATTCGTACCCATGTTTAACCTGTCCTCGTTCTCCGTAACCGTTATTCCATTTTGATGAACGTCACTTCCGGGGTTTTCGCCGTTGGCACCGGAAGTCCCAACATCGTCTGGATCAACGCTATTCAGAGACGTTAATCCGCCGAGGCACGCTAATCCCAACCAGATGCGATAGACGTGATACATTTCTGTCTTCGTCATTGTCATACAAGATGATGTTAAATATTTTAAATCAATACCATTCTTCTGAAGTCTTCTACAAAACACAATACTCAATTCCTACGCAAAGCTTCGCGCCACCATGCCTAGCTATACCCTTCAGGTTTTTTTTACTAAGTCTAAAATGTTGTAGTATTCTAGACGATTCACGCAACCTGAAAAAAAATTTAAAACATACTTTAAATCCTGAACATTTAAAAACACTAAAACACGATACGCATCTTGTTATTGAATTACCGTACCGTGTTATTGATAAGGTTATAAGCTTTTTTTACAATGGAAACGTGATGTTAAAGAGTGGGAGGCGGATTGTGAACGGACATGAGAGATTAATTTTTAAATCCTTTTTTAGATTCATTGAAAAATGATAATGCAGGTCATTGGCGAATCGAGCCTTTCAGTTTGAGGTTGCTGGTTTTTCAGGGGTAGGGAGGGGGTATTTTTTAATTTTTAGAAAAATCATTCGAAGTTACAAATAAGCAAAACAAAACTGTGTTAACGTTTAATAAGCCTACATATTTCCCCTTTTTTTAAAAAAAAAGTGGGTTGTAGCCCTTTCATGCAGATCCATTAATTGGGAACTAAGATATCTGAAATGTGAAACAACGATCCTATCATTATTAGTTCTAGAACCGTTCAAAGGGTGAGATAGTGGGTATAGGTCTTACAGACGACAAGTACATCTGTATATTTTACATCAGCAGAGGCGTAGCGAGGGGGGGGTGGGGTGCAGACTGCACCGGGTGACACCATTTAGGGGGGTGACACCAAGGAAAAAAATAGCAAAATATATAGAGAAAAATGATAATTCCACTTAATTAAGTGATTAATTCGAGTGTTAAATAGTTTTTTAAGAGATGCAAATCGAAAGTTTGAGGGGGAGGTACAAATCGAAAATTGAAAGTTTGTCCCCGGGAGGGGTCGTTACGCCTCTGGGGGGGGGGGGGGGGGTGACACCATTAAGTGCCGCACCGGGTGACACCCGACCTCGCTACGCCACTGAGTATAGGTCTCATAGACAACAAGTATATCTGTATACTTTACCTCGGCATATCCTAACAACAGTTTCACCACCACCCCACGACAACTTACATGAGACGTGTGGAGCTATACGAGACCCTAGCGGCAAAGATCGCTAACTCTTGTCTCCCTTATGTCATCAACCGACTAGCCTCCCCTGTGATAACATGAGAACGATTGCGTGCGTCACTCACATATCCGGAACTTGTTAATCTCACATTTTGACAAGTTTCACGCAATTCAACAATAACAAAAATAGGCTCATGACACACAACACGTTAAACATGAACGATCCGGGGGGTGGGGGTGGGGGGGGTGTGTTCCTCCACCTTCTAAGAGCAGTCTTGGACAAATTTTGGGCGATATTATTAGAAAAGTGCTGAGATTTTTGTCCAATTATTAAACCGTAGAAGAGGATCTCTTTATTGCCGTCTGCTGACGGAGCAGATATAGATTTATTGTGCCATTACTGGGAGCAAGAGATATCGGTTAGATAAACACATCGCACTTCATGCTAATTTAGGACCCGAACTGCAGATGTGAACACGGATAATGCATTTAGAAAAAAAAACGTTAATGTAAATTTTTTATTTAGAATAAAAATATAACAAAATGTTATGCACATTTTGATTTAAAACTAAACATATCAAAATGTGATGCAAACTTTGATTTAAAACAAAATATAACAACAATATTATTTAGTGTAGGAAAATATAGTTGATTGAAAAGTAAATTGCTTTGAAACCAATGTATTAGATTACATTATTCAAATTGTTTGTATGTGTGTGTGTCTGTCGGGGTTTCTGTATTTGTCTCTGTATATCTGGGTGGGCTACAGGACATTACCCCCCTGGATATTTCCCCCCCGGACATTTCCCCCCCCCCGTATTTACCCCCCGGAGAAATTACCCCCCTGTCAATTACCCCCCTGTCAATTACCCCCCGGGGAATTACCCCCCCCCCCCACCTCTCAAGTTAAAATCCTAACTAGAATTTTATACCTATATACTACTTTAATCCAAACCTTAAGAAAAAAAGACCAAAACCTAAGCATCCACCTTAGCCTGAAACTTCACACAAAACCAAAACCAAAGCTAGACACAACCCTAACCCTAACACTAGCTCTAACCCTTACCCTAACCCTAACCCTAACCCTAGCAATAACCCTAACCCTAGCCCTAAAACATAACCCTAACCCTAACCCTAGCAATAACCCTAACCCTAGCCCTAAAACATAACCCTAACCCTAACCCTAACCCTAGCCCTAACCCTAGCCCTAACCCTAGCCCTGATCCTAATCCTAATCCTAATCCTAATCCTAACCCTAACCCTAACCCTAACCCTAGCCCTAGCCCTAGACCTAAAACTTAAAACCTAACCCTAACCCTAACTCTAACTCTAACCCTAACCCTAACCCTAACCCTAACCCTAAACCTAACCCTAACCCTAACCCTCTCTAACTCTAACCCTAAACCTAAACCTAGCCCTAACCCTGTCCGGGGGGGGGGTAATGTCCTACTGGGCGGGGGGTAATTGACAGGGGGTAATTGACAGGGGGGGGGTAATTACTCTGGGGGGGGGTAATGTCGGGGGGGGGGGGGGAAATATCCGGGGGGTAATTGAGAGGGGGGGGGGGAAATGCCCTGTTCCCATCTGGGTGTGTCTCTGTGTATGTCTGTCTTTGTATCTGTGGTTTTTGTGTGTCTATATGTTTGTATGTTTCTCTATAGGTCTGAGTATGTCTGTGTTTTTGCCTGTATGTATGTGTTTGAATATGTGTGTATATGTTTGTGTGTGTGTGTGTGTCTGAGAGTACCCGCCACCGGAGGCTATGGAGAAGATGAAGTAGAGTTTACATAATTAAGTGAACACGGCATTTTGGAGGCTGTACAGCTTAGAATGTTGTCCGGATTATTTATTTACTGTTCTGGTCGATTTAGGTGTCTGTAATAAGGCTTTGATGCGCGAAATTATTTAAAAACGAAATGACGCAGTTTGTGGAGTTTTGTTCGATGGTTATAGTTTAGGCACAGGAACATGTGCACGGCGATAAGTTCTGGTGTTAAGTTCCACAATTTAAACAGAAAGTAGAACAATTAGTTTAAAATACAAGAAAAGCAACAAATCCTTGCAACAAATCCATGCAACAAATTCTCGCAACAAATTCTCACAACAAATCCTCTCAACAAATTTTGCAACAAATTCTCCCAACAAACTCTCGCAACAAATTATCGAAACAATTTCTCGTAAAAAATTCTTGCAACAAATCTCAGATGCGCTCTAATTTAGTCAACGGACCCCCCCATACCTCCCACAACACAAAATCATTTACCCTAGCTACGCCCCTGCCTGGAACACCGGAGCAGATAACTCAACACACCATCAAGACCCTTAACCTTAACCCCACCTCAGATTCAACTTCTGGTCCTTACAACTGATTAAGATGAGCGAAAAAAAAATTAAAAACAAAATCTCAAAAGACGAAAAACTCATCTCAAATGTCACTTCAATTATTCACACTTGTTAATGAATATTTTTTTTTAAAGAAGCTACTTTTTACAAATATTTTTACTGTAAATCGAATTTAAAAAAAAACACTCCACTTTCTGATTCAGTCAAAAGTTTAATTTCTCTCGTACATAGTCTGATGGAAAGGTTGTTGTTTTTAATGTAACCGCCAACCGACAAACAACACAGTGACATGAGCAATAATTCAAAATGAATGTTCCTGCATACCAAGTCAGCATCGTTAGGCAATAAAGGTAATTATTTCTACCGGCGTTGTGCCATTTTTTTTTTTAAGATGTTAAAAGATAATTACTAGTTCATGGCTAAAGTATTGATGCATTTTTTGCAATAAGCAATGTTTTCTTTTCTCTGTCTCTTTTACTTCCTAGCTACATAGTACTTTAACATATACCCAATTTACTCCAAGTATACAGAGTAAAACAAGAGTTCAATAACGGTAACTTTTACTATAACCCTATTAAGTTTAGGGTCCATCAGTTCAGATTAATCTCCTAATGCAGATTTTGGAGGTTGGAGCAGTGGGGGGGGGGGGGGTATATTAAATAGTGTACTTTACAAGTGGTAATTCATCTATAGGTAATTGCAAAGGGGGTAGTTACCAAGCGGTAAGTGACCCTGTCCAAGACCCTAATCCTCGCATAACAGTACTCATTACTATAACTTACTGGATGTAAAAAAAAAACATTTTAATTGCTGATTATAGTTTTTTTTTAATTAACTTCTATCATTTTTATAGGACATAGCTTCTCCTGACATTTAATTTCTACCTTTCATCTAGCATCTACTTGACATTTTGCTTTCTTTTATCAGTGAGCTTTGTCAAACGTCCCCAACACAAAAGCTACAAACAGTTCCTTTGACGACGGCAATAAATAAAGGCCCATCTGTAAAGTGATAAAACACAATAGCCTTGGTGTCTCTGATGTTTGAAAGCATTTAATGATTACCTGGCCAGTTTACGGTGACCAGCCAATCTATTTTTAGACGCATGTCTAGACATGCGCTAAAAAGAATATGGGCGGGTCCTGAATGTGGGCGGTTGAGGACGTGCGTCCTCGACATACAACTTCGTTTAAACGTACCCACTTCATATGTCACTCACCGTCACATAATGTGAGAACCACTTGTCTATCTTTACATCTACCATTGTTTAAACGTAACCATTTCTTGTATCACAGTCCTATATTGTGAGAACCGCTCTAAGAAAATAAGTGTCTTTAATCTAACATTGTTTAAACGTACCCATTTCACGTGCCACCGTCCCATAACGTGAGAACCCCGCTCTAAGAAACAAAGTGTCGTTACATCTACCATTGTTTAAACGTACCCATTTCAAGTGCCACAGTCCCATAATGTGAGAACCCCTCGTCTATTTTTACATCTACCATTGTTTAAACGTACCCATTTCAAGTGCCACAGTCCCATAATATGAGAACCACTCGTCAAGCCTAAATCTCCGTCACCTTTGTGGACTAAAGAGACATTTTATAGATAAAGTCAGGGGCGGATAAAAATAGCAGATATCCACAAGATACATACACATTTATGCTGTGGCATTTGACATCTCTACATACATAATTAAAACATAATTTTTGTCTGATATCAAATTGCTATAAGGACGGTTCATTAAAAGTGTATAACCAGATTTTTAAGCCCCGCAGGTTGCTGTTTGCATGTTTCAATTTTCGTTCTATATGCTATGTTTTTCTTTTAATGTAAAAATCTTCTCTTCTGGTTTAAAACCCACTGGCATTAGTTTCTGTGTTAGCTGAATCATAAGTATGTTCGAAGAGTAAAGATTATAACCCACTGTCACAACCAAAACGGTAGACTTTTACCAATGCAAAAGTAAAGATTATAAGCCACTTTCACTAACAAAAGTAAAAATTATAACCAACTTTCACCAATGCAAAAGTAAAGATTATAAACCACTTTCACCAATACAAAGTAGCCTAAATATTATAAGCCATCTCACCTTTAGGAATAGGCCTACCTATACAACAAATTCGATTACAAATGTTTAATTCCAAGACTTTTTTTTTTCCTTTCTAAACACTAGCTGAGTATGCAATTCGAAATTTAAAATTTAAATTTCTAAATTAAATCGTGAAAGAAGCAGAAAGAAAATTTTTTGAAATGGAGGACAATTAGTCACCATTCCTCCCCCCTCCATTGAAAATAATTCTAACCGTCCGATTTCCATTACGAATTTCTCTTGTATTTAAACGTCCCTTTTACAATTTCTCTCTCGCTCTCTCGTGAAGGTCTTCCTGCGATGGATTTAAAAATTGTGTGTCGTTTGGGCATTTTTAACACGACATGTGGCACAGGATGGAACAAAACGATCTCAATATTTTCGGACGAAATAAATATAAAACTATTGTTAAATTTACATTTATGGTAGTGCTTATTTAATGTTAAGTATATATGCAGTTCGAAATCCATGAGTTCTGTGCTGGATATATATATATATATATATATATATATATATATATATTTATATTTATATTTATATTTATATTTATATTTATATTTATATTTATATTTATGTAAATATATATATTTATATACATATATATACAATTTTATATATATATATATATATATATATATATATATATATATATATATATATATATATATATAACATATAGGCCTATGTATAAATATATATATATATATATATATATATATATATATATATATATATATATATATATATATATATATATATATATATATATATATAGGAAAAGGAAAGATGGAGTCTACAGAGATAAGCGAGATGGGAGGCGGAGAGAGAGAGTGAGAGAGACTAACAGATAGACGTATTTAATGAAGACAAATCTACCCACTAATGGAGAAAACAGGCGATTAGGAGGGAGATTGAGATACTACACGAGACAGTCACGAGACAGTCACGTCGATAGACACATACACAGGTTACAAAACTGAGAGGATATAATAGTAGAGGTACGGCGTGGTCGGTGGATAGAGCTTACGACTGCTAACTGGAAAGTCTCGAGTTCGGATCCCAGGCTCGAGTCTATACAACGTCTCCGGGTCCACCCATCTCTTATGAGTACCTGACTCACGTTAAGGAGACAAGGAGCTGGTCATAGTGCTGACCACACTATCCCTATGTATGCTAAGCCAATTGAAATATATGGACTTTATATGCCTCTATATGTCCCATGTGTCTTGGGCACAAACGAGAAAATATGATATTATAATAATATACTTAAAGTGGAATAAACATAAAAACTAATCACATATATAAATTACTTACTTTATCGAATTCGCAACATGTTTCTTAATTAAATAAAGTAATTCACAGGATTTACTTTATACTGCCAACAAATGAAGATGAAACACTGCTTATCCTGTTTGCGGTATCCAAGCACAGCTAGACCTCAACAAGGGAAGGAACCGCTCGATTTATTCCTCCATCAATAACTCCCAACGTCTCGACCACTCTCATTGGTTGGGACGAAATACCCTCGAACTAATCACAACTTTCCTCCTATCAGGCTGTGTGCGCACTTGCTCCGCGATCGCGCATGGCGTTTTGACATAAATTTCTTCGCCTCTTCGGTGCCCCTATCTGCCCCCATTTTCTGGCTAATCGAGATTACAGGGGCACTCCATAGAGGGCTCTTTTGTTTTCTAGGGCCCTCGACAAAATTCAAACACAAACAATTTAATTCTCATCGCCTTATCTGGGTTTGACTTGTTGGTATTTACTAAACACTGCCATGTTTTTCTGTTGGGGAGCTTTTGTTGCCAAGTTATAATGAGCGGAAAGCGTGTTGGCGCGACTTTACCTGGTAAACTATAGCTTAACCTTAACAGAATTAATATGGCTTTAGTCAGTTATGTTACCTTTTTAGTCAGTCAGTATTAACACACCTTTAGTCAATAGTAATTCATTTTCGTAGTCAAAATTTGAAAACTTTCATTGTCTAAGGGTGAAGTCAGTGTTAGTCAATATTGGTACAAATCTAAAGTTTATAGTTGAAATGTTTTATCTGTAATGATATATATATATATATATATATATATATATATATATATATATATATATATATATATATATATATATTCTTTATCATTTCTTTATTTACATATACTTACATATGTGTATATATACCCATATATACATACATATGTTATATAATACTGGTATTTACTTTCTTGTTTGTATGATTACAACTGTTTGTATGTAAAGTCGTATGTGGATTGTTGTGTCTTTATACGAAAAACAACACAGCTTGTGTATAGTGACCCTATTGCAAGCATCCCTTACATCTCAACTCGTGCCGAGTACCACAAAAAGCTGAGTCGCTACAGACCGTTTCCGCTGAGCGACGGTGACGTTGTGCTTGTTAGCTAGACCCGCGTGATTTAGCGATTACCCTGACTCCTGCTCAACACGCTAGTAGACCGTATGTCTCGCTAGGATCAATAAAGTTTGTGGTGTGGGGTAGTTGTGCGGGCTTCCTATGTGGGGCTTGTTTTGTGTGGGTTTGTTTTGTGGTGTTTATTTTGTAGAGCCTGTTGTGTGGGATTTTGTGTTGTTTTTTTTTGGTGGGGGGGGGGCGGGGGGGGGGGGGGGCTGATAGTTTATCGTGTGGACTTGCAGTGTGGGCTTTTGAGTGGGGCTTATTATGTTATTTTTGCCCTAATGCCTGGGTGTTTTCTTCTTGTTTTTTTAATCTTTGTTTTTCACATTGGGTGTCGATCATAAACGACTCCATGTGATTTAAAACAATGTCGTCTTTCCCCCCCCCCCCCCACCACCACCACTACAAACTCTTAAAATCCCACTTCTTCCTCAAAATCAAAACACCAACTATCAACAAGCTAATGATAATTTTTATTTATAAAAATTATGTTGCGTGCCAGTTTATAATCATTTAACCCCTCCCCACGCTCTCTAAACAAAGCACTGAATCCCCACCCCCAAAGCCCCCACCCCTGAGCTGAGGACAACCACCTCTGCACATACACTATCTATCTATCTATATCTATATATATATATATATATATATATATATATATATATATATATATATATATATATATATATATATATATATATATATATATATATATATATATAATTCTCTTCTTGGAGACCCTAGAAAACACCAAGCTGTAAACGCGCTCCCTACCACCCCACCCCTACATGGTCTGGTGAGCTATGGTTCACGCTAAATGTTTACAATCGTAGAGCCGGGTTTAGTGACGGCTATTAGGGGCAGATAATTTATTTTGAAACGATTTTAAACTTGGGGGAGGTAACTAAGAGGAGGCTGCTTTCACGGGGGGTAGGGGGTTGGCGAAAGGAGGGGGGGGGGTATCGTCCTTAACGAGCTACTGATAGTGTTTTAAAGCAAATATATTCAGTGGCAGCATTGGTACTGTCGAATTCACAAATTATGAATTACTGAAAAGTAGAAAATAACTAAATAGCGGCGTATGATACGCCGCGGGTCGGCTCGTATAAAATATTACTCCTCGTTATGGTGTTGTGTTTTTTAATAAGTAGCACCTAAAAACAGACTCATACTTGTAGCTAGTAGCTATTTCACTTCAACACTTAATCAAGAATTGAACTTGGATCCATAAATTTAGGAGTCATGCGTTATTCTACCCAACCATCTGAAGCAACACATTTGTACATATCTGTCTAGCATAGGTGTGGGACTGCGTGGTCGAATGGTAGAGCGTTTGGATGCTACTCCAAAGGTCTTGAGCTCGCATCTCAGTTTAGCCGTGTGGATGTAGAACGTCTATGAGTCTACCCAGTTCTGATAAATACCTGACTGATGATAGGAAAAGTAAAGGCGGCTGGGCATAGTGCTGACTACACTATCCCTTCATATGCCGATGTCAAGAAACATACTTCATCTAGCTCTAAAGAGAAACTTTTACTATAGCATAGCTCCTACATCAGCGCAGTATACACTGGAGCCTCGACTAAGAGCGGGTAAAGAAAGGGGCTCAGGGAACTTAAATATGACAAGTTGAGCTCTTTGGTTGTGGAGGAAACAAATTGGCTTTCTGTGGTCTAATCGAAAAAAAAACAGCATTTCTATGGCAGACGTCGATTCTTTCTAACACCGACCCCTGGTTGAATATTATGATTGAATTAAACTATAATAGTGTTTTATAATTTTGGATTAATTTTTAATGCGAGGTTTCAGCTTACACTTAGAACAAATTTTAATATTGTCTGTCTGGTATAAAGTTTTTATTTAATTTTCTAATTCATATTTAATCTAGTAAAGCAAAAAAAAATCTAACCGATTAATAATGCTCTTTTCTTTTTTTTTCTTTTTAAAAACTATTTAAAAATATTTTATGACATTAATCAGGCATTTTTTTACCTCCCTTTAACTTGTCTCCCTTGTTATATTTTTATCCTTGAATTGCCCAGACAATCGTAATGAGCCAAAAATAAAATCCTCAAGTGGAATAGTTTCTCACGTGCGTGCGCGAAATAAAAAAAAATCTTGGTGAATGATAATGGACGACAAATTGTTTTATGCGCGTTCAAATAATGGGAGTGTGGGGGGAATTGTAGGCTAAAAAAAAAGTTGAAGTTGTTTTTTCTTAGATAAGAAAATGATGGAATAATTAAAAGGCTCTTTGGTTGACCACGGCAGGTGGGTTAAAAAATTGCTCAGGTCATTTGGAAAAATTTGGTATAAAGAATGGTGGGAGTATGTGGATTAAACTAGTGTGTTTATGGCATTTAGTCGAGGGACAGTGGGAATAATTTGGATAGGATATACGAGGTGAGGCTGGATAGGACACATAAGATGGGATTGGGTGGGAGACAAGGGGGAGAAGGGGCTAGATAGGACACACGAGGGGTGGAAGGGATATGACACACGAGAGATGGGCTGGATAGGACACACACAATGGGGCAAATAGAACACATAATGGGGTTAGATAGGACACACACAATGGGACACATAGGACACACACAATGGGACTAGATAGGACACACACAATGGGACTAGATAGGACACACAATGGGGCTAGATAGGACACATAATGGGGCTAGATAGGACACACAATGGGGTTAGATAGGACACACAATGGGGCTAGATAGGACACATAATGGGGCTAGATAGGACACACACAATGGGGTTAGATAGGACACACACAATGGGACTAGATAGGACACATAATGGGGCTAGATAGGACACACATGGGGCTAGATAGGACACACAATGGGACTAGATAGGACACACACAATGGGACTAGATAGGACACACAATGGGGCTAGATAGGACACACACAATGGGACTAGATAGGACACACACAATGGGGCTAGATAGGACACATAATGGGGCTAGTATAGGACACATAATGGGGCTAGATAGGACACACAATGGGGCAAATAGGACACATAATGGGGCTAGATAAGACACACACAATGGGGCTAAATAGGACACACACAATGGGGCTATATAGGACACACACAATGGGGCTAGATAGGACACATATGGGGCTAGATAGGACACACACAATGGGGCTAAATAGGACACACACAATGGGGCTATATAGGACACACACAATGGGGCTAGATAGGACACACGAGTGATGACTGATTCCGCCGAATGCTACAAAATTTGCTATATTCGCAATAAAAACACTGAAATAAACACTTCAAAGATTGGCTATAAATTCAACACCGTTAAAAAAAAAACACTAGGACACCTTAAAGACAGGCTGTACATTTCACACCACCAAACAAGAACTACGGAAACACCATCAAGTAAGGCGAAACATTTCACAACACCACCAAACAAGAACCACGGAAACACCATCAAGTAGGGCTTAACATTTCACGACACTACCAAACAAGAACTACGGAAACACCATCAAGTAAGGCGAAACATTTCACGACACCATCAAAACAAGAACTACGGAAACACCATCAAGTAAGGCGAAACATTTCACAACACCACCAAACAAGAACCACTGAAACACCATCAAGTAGGGCTAAACATTTCACGACACCACCTAACAAGAACGACCGAAACACCATCAAGTAGGGCTAAACATTTCACAACACCACCAAACAAGAATCACTGAAACACCATCAAGTAGGGCTAAACATTTCACGACACCACCTAACAAGAACCACTGAAACACCATCAAGTAGGGCTAAACATTTCACAACACAACCAAACAAGAACCACGGAAACAGTCAGGCCAAACATTTCACGACACAACCTAACAAGAACTACTGAAACATCATCAATTCAGGCTAAAAATTTCACGACACCAACAAAAAAAATTACAGCAACAACATCATTTCAGGCCAAACATTTCACAACACCACCAAACCAGAACCACTGAAACACCACCCTGAGACACCCCCAAGACAGACTCTACATCTGACGCCATGACGCCGCCATCTTGTGACCTGGTCCACAACGAGGTCCAGCATCTGGGGTCAAGGCCACAAGGTTGCCCAGCATCTGAGATCAACAACCGCCATTGACAGAGGACTCGGCTGACCTCAGCCCGCGGCCCTCGTCTAATCTAACGTAAAACACGGATCTTGATTGCTGCAAGCACCGGCAAACTCGCCAGGCAATCTTAGAACAAATTACCTGAGACCGTTTCATGTCTGGGAAAATTGCAACTTTTCCCATCTACCACAGAGGCTTTGGGGGTGGGGGTTGGGGGGAGGAATCTCAATTCAGATCTATCATTTATTTTTTATTTTTTTTATTTATTTATTTTTTTTGCTAAGCTTAAGCAATAAATGGAACGATTTCTCACACACCGCAAGATGTCATCTATTTATTTCACAAGAATCTACTCGCTTATTTCCCTTGCTTTATTGCTGCAAAACTCGACCCGGAAATAAAATCCGGAGGGGATAAACGTTTAAATTTGCAAAGCCGCGTTAGGATTTTTTTTTTATTATATTAAAAATCAAGTTATTTCAACTCCGTAAAAAATTGATCAAACCCATAGCCGTGACGATTCGCCGTCTGCTTGGAATTGTGGGACTGAACGGGCCAGGAGATAACGGCCCCTGGGGAGTGGAGTTTTTCTTTAGCAGCAGACGTCGTGACGTCAACTTTCTTTATTAAAATAAAAGACATTTCCTGTTGACTGACGGAGAAGTTTGTCCGAAACGAAATGTTGTTTATCATCAGGCTGAGGATGTTTGATTGGGCTCTTGTTTTCCTATTGTTACCCGTGGGTTATTTGCTTTCTTTTTATGTGTTTTTTTTTATGAAAGTGGCATTTAAGTGTTGAACTAAATTTGAATTTTTTATAACGTAAGTAGAGTTTAAATAACTTTATCTTTTAGATTTTTAAAAAAAATTTAAGTCTAAATAGCTAAATAATTTTCATCATCAAATTTTTTGACCAGTTAATATAGCGTTATCATTTTTTTAAACTGGAGTTTAAATAACTAAATCATTTTAATCATCATATTTTTACCAGAGTTTATATAGATTTATCTTTTTTTTTTTAACTGGATTTTAAATAATTTAATCATTTTTATCATCATCAATTTTTTACTACAATTTAAATCATTTTAGAATTTAGATTTTAAAATTTTGATTTTTAAAATAAGTAAATTGTTTTTATCATCATCCTTTTGCGTTTGTGCTGAGGAAACGTAATCATTTTGATTGGGTTTTTTTTTAAAACTTAACAAATGTTTGAATAACTTTTTCACGTATAAACATATTTTTAGCGCAATTTCCATTCTGGAGAATTGCGTTTATTAACTCGTCATTTCTGGGAATGGATGGATGGATGAATGTGTGTCCGGGCTTTAAGTCGTATCTCCTCCTCAACGAAGCAATATCGATGACTAGTTCCAAAAGCAATTATGTTAAGCAAGTTACGAGAATGAGCATAGGCTATAAAAATTCCGGGTTTCTTTCATGTATTTCCCGTAAAAGCCAAAAAACCTCGAAAAAATGCAGTTTTTGGCCCATATCTCGGCAACCAGACCACTTAGCGACTTGAAACATGTACCAATCGATTCCTGCCATAATTTAGAACAATATTGCCGAAGAAACTTTTCAAAAATATCCTCTCGTTCGGTCACAAATTTTAAAATTACATAAACACCTACAAACCGATCGCTCTTCTAGCTTGAACGCACCCCAACATTATACGTCAGAGCTATTTTTAGATAACATAAGGAAATTGCGCATAAATGTCACTAGACTTTTTTAATTAACTTGCGCGCCTACTGAACGTGATGGCGCAGCCATGGAACGCGATGACGCATCTATTGAACGTGATGACGCGTGTGGTGTGGTTGTATATACATGCCGGAAGTAGAGATCTATCATCTTAATGATTATCATGTTGATAATCAAGTTCAACTAACCAATGGTTTTAATAACCCTGCTCTTGATTTCAAGGTGCTTAGTTTAGTTAGTAGTTAGGTTTATTTAATAAAAAACGTTTTAATAACTAACCAATGGTTTTACTAACCCTGCTCTTGATTTACGCTACGACAGAGCTATTTTTAGATAACATAAGGAAATTGCGCTAAAATTGTCACTAGACTTTTTAATTAACTTGTTTTAAACTTAATTTGAGTTGTTTTTTCTCTACCTTACTCTAACTTGATTGTTTTTTCAGGTTGTTGGGACATGATGGTGATATTGGGGAGTATTTGATTGATAATCAATAAGGTCGAATCTTTAATTAGATAATCAGACAAACTAAAGAAGTAAAGGAATACGTAGATAATCCGTTGATCACAGATGTGTAAGCTTTATGTATTAATACTGCCAACAATAAGAATATCAGTTTCACCCTAGACAAATTATAGGAACATCTTTTATCCTTGGAACATTATTTAGCGTTTTTTTTTACTAATTTAATTATTCCAGGGGCGTCGTGAGGCGGGAGCGGGGTGCGGACCGCCCCGGGTGATACCCGGCCTAACGACGCCACTGAATGATTCTATCATTTCCTTCCATACTAGAATAACAAATCCGTTAAATTAGCAAAAATTAGACATACCTAAAATGTTTATAATATAATTATCCATATATTCTTCATAAATATAATTTATTCCTTAAGTCCATGTAAAAAATATAACAATGTACTTTATTGGTTAAGTTGATATTTAAAATATAAATAAATTCGTTATGAATTTAAGTTCATCAAGTACTTTGAAAATGTTCACATAAATATATTTTGTCTCTTGCATTCATATAAAACGATGTTAAGTCTCCACAAGCTATATCCTGTTTCACATCATGCGTTCATAGAAAGATGTGTAAAGTCTACATAAAATCTACATAAAATCTATCCCGATTCAGACAACAAGTTCTACCCTGCTTAAAATCACCCGATCTTCCTCGCTTAAGATCACAAGATTTTCCTCGCTTAAGATCACAAGATCTCCGCCTAAGAGCACAATATCTTCCCTGCTTAAGATCACAAGCTTACAATATTGTCCCTGCTTAAGATCACAAGATCACAAGATCTTCCCTGCTTAAGATCACAAGATCTTCCCGGATTCAATCACAAGATCACAAGATCTTCCCTAATTCAGATCACAAGATCACAAGCTCTTCCCTGACTCAGATCATAAAATAACTCTCACTGGGTGTCTGATCGCCATCGTCATGCTCATCATCATTGTCCTCGCTCTCCACATCCTCATCTAAACTCTCCTCATCCGAGGAGTTATCCACCTCATCCTCATACTCTATCATACTCCTCTCCTCCAGGCATCTCAGCCTCTCGAGGGTCACGTGATCGCCGCTAAACGCTCCGCCCTTTGACGACGGCTGGTGGATGTACTGCGGGTGGTTGGCTTCGTGTTTGGAGAAGACCCTGGTGAAGACTTTGGACTTGCTCTTGATGAACTGGGCGTGTGTGAAGCGGCTGGGGGAGGAGAGGACAGAGCAGGACTTGAGCTGTTGTATGCCGGGATAGAAGGTTTTGGGGCGACAGCTGGTCTGGCCGTGCAGGTTGGTTTCGCTTAATGAAGAGATGCATATGTCTTGGAGGTCTGTTTCCTGGAAGATAGAGAATTTGGTTATGTTGGTGATAATTGACGGGTACATAACTGACGTAAAGCCGGCTGGGCATAGTGCTAAAGACATAATCCCTTCATTTGCTGAGGTCACAGAAAAAGGTGAACTCTACTTCACTTGCTCCATGGACCGTCAGGTTAGAAAAAGGAACTTTTAGTCAATAACTCAATAAGAAAATGATCCGGCTTTACTGTAAGTTAGAAATATTTTGTAACAAAAGTTAACCTGCTTTGGCATTAAAAGTAGGAATAAAGAACGTTTAATCAATGCCTTTACAGAGCGTACGAGGTGTCAAATCAGAAGGTTTACGCAGTGCCCTTACATAGTGGGTTGGATGTGAATTAAACTAAAGAGAGAACCAACAACCCAAACACCAATACAACCCCTATCTATCCAATCACAATTTTCGCTTCACATTACACTACAACTTCAAGATCCATACTTTAGTATTTCAAGCTAAATTTTCAAGAATCGAATAACGCCCAATTTATCTAACACGAGCCGGCCCGCGGCATAACATACGCCGCTATTTAGTTGTTTCTAATTTTCAATAATTCATAATTTGTGAATTCGACAGTACCAACGCTGACACTGAAAATATTTCTTTAAAACACTATAAGTAGCTCGTTAAGGACCATAACCCCCCCCCCTTCCTCCCCCCCTCCTCCCCCTACGTTTAAAATCGTTGGCTCTGCTTGTAAACATTTAGAGTGAACACAGCTCACTAAAACCATGTAGGGGTGGGGAGGTAGGGAGAGCGTTTGCAGCTTGTTTTCTAACGGCTCGAAGAGGAGAATTATATATATAGATGATTACAAAACAATGTAAGCCTTAGTAAACGTGTTTATCAAACCTCCTCGGGGATTTCAAAATGGGCGTTGGTTAAGACCGTCCTCGGATGGACGTTCTTGAGCAGTGCCAGTCGTTGGTTGAAGCTGGACGGCAGGTTGGCCGGGTCGTATCGGTCCACTGCGTACAGCCTGGGTCTCCGGCCCTTGGCTAGACTGTAGGAGATGTGGTGGTCATAGCCGATGTTGTGGAACGGGTACAGGTGCGGTCCTTCTTCGTGTAGGCAACCTGAGGGAGAAATTTGTTGATTTAAGTCCTCTTCCGAACTTGCGTTTTTTTGTTTTTGTTTTGTTTCTTTGTTTTTTGTTGTTTGCTTATTGATTTTTGGTTTTTGGTTGTTTTTGGGTTTGTTTTTTTTTTTTTTTTTTTTTTTTTACTTTTTTTTTATTAGTGGTAGTAAAGTTGATAATGAGCGTTCTCGTGAACTGGTGGTGAATAGGACAGATGGAGAAGAGTTTATGTAACGTATGAAAGGAGTGTGTGACTAGGACAGTGCCCAGTAATTCCCCTCCCATCCACTGTAGCAACTGGTCAATTTTGGCTTTAGATGGTACAGAACAGAGAAAGAAGATGTGGTTGGTTTAGGCACAAGGCAGGCATTGAGGGGGAACAACCTTGGAAGGGGATGAACACCCAACAACGAGACTTTGAGGAAGTCACCCCAAAGATGGGCTACACATGGAGTCAGGTTGAGAAAATGGCACAGGTCAGATGACTCTTTGGATGGTGGCTGATACACCATCAGGGGTGAGAGGCAGTGAAGCTGATGATGACGAAGATGATGATAATGATCCGAGAACCATTCTCAAGACTATAGGATCTGTAATTTTTTTTTCTAGCATCAACTTCTTATTTCCAGATATCTTCCCCATTAATTCAGTACTATACTTAATTTTCCTTTATTGGCAATAGCTTTTACATTTTTAGTCTTGGGCTACCATTTTATGTCAGTATATTTTCAGTTCTAAGTCATAAATCTCCAAAATATTTTCAGTCTTAAGTCAGCCGGTCACGTCATGATTTTAATCCACCCAGTTACCTTTGTAACAGCAAGGTCTCTTAGAAGTCTTCCAATGCTGCGGACAATGGATCTCTATTTCTTCCAGGGGGCTGTACTCAGTGACATCCATCCCATACTCGGGCCGTGTCTGCTGTTGAAGTAATGCCAACAATAAAATAGGGCGTAACTAGGTGAGGTGTGGGGAATGAGGGGGCGACTAGCCCTAGAGAAGTTTTGAAACGAGCTAAATATTAAATGAGAGCAGGCAGAACCTAGCTGTGACACGACCGTGGCTGTAGGCGGTAAAAGTAAAAGTAGTTGTATGATCCTCCCATCTCCTACCCGAAAGGGATTTATTAAATGAAAATTAGCATCGATTTTTTTAAATGTTTATATACACAGCTGAAAACTAACTTAGTTGATTAAATCTTATGAAGTATTATATTGTTTAATCCAGCTCAGCCGAGGGATGATGGAAAATGGAGTTGTTTCCTGACAAAGTAGTCTGTCTATAGGCTACATACAGGCTACTTAACTATGCGAATACCTACATGCTAATGAGAGACTAACTACAGGCTAATAGGCTAGACTAGCTACAGACTACCTAGACGCTACATGCAGGCTACATAGGGGTCACCTACAGGTCATCAACTAGCTAGGGGCTTCCTACAGGCTACCTACATGCTACTACACTATATCTATAGAATGCTTACATACAACACAGAAATTACCTAGAGGTTAACTAGAGGCAACCACAAAGCTACCCAGAGTCCACCGAGGGTTTAGAATGGTCAGAGGCTACCTAGAGACTAGCCAGAAGCTACCAAGAGGCTATCTAGAGACTACCAAGAGACTACCCAAAGGCTACCTAGAGACTAGCCAGAAGCTACTCAGAGACTACATAGAGCCTACCTAGATGCTACCCAGAAGCTACCCAGAAGCTACCCAGAGGCTACCTAGAGTCTACCTAGAAGCTATCTAGAGACTACCCAGAAGCTACCCAGAGGCTACCTTTCTGTGTCCCCGGAAGACAACCCTCCTGGACCAGCAGGTCAGCACACAGATGATGTGAGAGGCCATCGTCAGAGTTATCCAAAGGGTGGACACCAAGATGGCGTACCTGTCAATGTCAAGGTCAAACATTAAAGGTTAAATGCACGAACAAAAATACTTCATTTCATTTAGTATCATTTATTTGTAATTACAAGCTTCTTTAGTGTTTCATTTCAAATGAGGTTAATTAATTGTGTACGGTAAGCTGATAATTACGCATGTGTTTCAGTCAGTTTAATCTCTCATCTACTAATTTCTTCAGTAAGGTTTAAGCTCCTACCTAACCAAATCTTCTGTCCACGTTTAAGCTCTCACTTACCAATCAACCTAGTTTAAACTCCCATTTACCAAAATATTTTGCCCAGTATAAGCTCCCACCTACCCATATCTCCTGTCCCCCTAAGCTCCTGCCTACTGCCCCCCTTAAGCTCCCACCTACCCATATCTCCTGCCCCCCTTAAGTTCCCACTTAGCCAAATCTCCTGTCCCCATTAAGCTCCCACCCCATATCTCCTGTTCCCCTTAAGCTCCCACCTACCCATATCTTCTGTCCCCATTTAGCTCCCACCTACCCATATCTCCTGTCCCCCTTAAGCTCCCACCTACCCATATCTCCTATCACCCTTAAGCTCTGCCAATTCCCCCCCCTAAGCTCCCACCTACCCATATCTCCTGTTCCCCTTAGGCTCCCACATACCCATATCTCCTGTCCCCTTTAAGCTCCCACCTACCCATACCTCCTGTCCCCCCCTAAGCTCCCACTTACTGTCCCCCTAAGCTCCCACTTACCCATATCTTCTGTCCTCCGTTAGCTCCCAACTACCCATTTCTCCCGCCCATTAAGCTCCCACCTACCCATATCTCCCGCCCATTAAGCTCCCACCTACCCATATCTCCTGTCCCCCTTAAGCTCCCACCTACCCTTTTCTCCCGCCCATTAAGCTCCCACTTACCCATATCTTCTGTCCTCCGTTAGCTCCCAACTACCCATTTCTCCCGCCCATTAAGCTCCCACCTACCCATATCTCCCGCCCATTAAGCTCCCACCTACCCATATCTCCTGTCCCCCTTAAGCTCCCACCTACCCATATCTCCTGTCTCCCTTAAGCTCCCGCCTACCCATATCTCCTGTCTCCCTTAAACTCCCACCTACCCATATCTCCTGTCCCCCTTAAGCTCCCACCTACCCCGGATGCTCTGCCCAGTTTAAGCTCCTGTAGACCATGTGCTGCCCCTCGCTGTTGGTCAGCCCAAACATGGGGTACACCAGGGTAAACAGCAGGTAAAGGCAGGTGAACCCCACGGGCTGGTACATGTGGTAGAGCCGGCTGGGTATGGCCGTCATGCAGGTATTGGCACCGCTCATCACCGTCAGGAGGATCTGGCACATCATGTTAAAGTAGCCGATGTACCTGGCTATGGAGCAAGGTCAAAGGTGAACGCGACAGGTGGATAGAGGTGAAAGGTGAAGGTGATAGGTAGATAGAGGTGAAAGGTGAATACGACAGGTAGATAGAGGTCAATGGTGAACACGACAGGTAGATAGAGGTCAATGGTGAACACGACAGGTGGATAGAGGTAAAAGGTGAACACGACAGGTAGATAGAGGTCAAAGGTGAACACGACAGGTAGATAGAGGTGAAATGTAAACACGACTGGTAGATAGAGGTCAAAGGTGAACACGACAGGTAGATAGAGGTCAATGGTGAACACGACAGGTAGATAGAGGTCAATGGTGAACACGACAGGTGAACATAGGTGAAAAGTGAAGGCGACAGGTAGATAGAGGTGAAAGGTGAACACGACAGGTAGATAGAGGTCAATGGTGAACACGACAGGTAGATAGAGGTCAATGGTGAACACGACAGGTAGATAGAGGTCAATGGTGAACACGACAGGTGAACATAGGTGAAAAGTGAAGGCGACAGGTAGATAGAGGTGAAAGGTAAACACGACAGGTAGATAGAGGTCAAAGGTGAACACGACAGGTAGATAGAGGTCAATGGTGAACACGACAGGTAGATAGAGGTCAATGGTGAACACGACAGGTGAACATAGGTGAAAAGTGAAGGCGACAGGTAGATAGAGGTGAAAGGTGAACACGACAGGTAGATAGAGGTCAATGGTGAACACGACAGGTAGATAGAGGTCAATGGTGAACACGACAGGTGGATAGAGGTCAATGTCATAATGTACTGTATACATACCGATGTCAGAATGAACTGTGAACATACCGATGTCAGAATGAACTGTATACATACCGATGTCAGCTAGAATGAACTGTGTACATACCGATGTCAGTTAGAATGAAATGTGAACATACCAATGTCAAATGAACTGTGTACATACCAATATCAGTTAGAATGAAATGTGTACATACCGATGTCAGTTAGAATGAACTGTGTACATACCGATGTCAGTTAGAATAAACTATGTACATACCAATGTCAGTGAGAATGAACTGTGTACATACCTATATCAGTTAGAATGAGCTGTGTACATACCGATGTCAAAATGAACTGTGTACATACCGATGTCAGTTAGAATGACGCTGTACATGACGTTGCATGACATGATGTTGGCCGACAGAACATTGTAGCTGAACCAGGTGATTTTAAAGTACCATGGGGTTATGTGAAGCCTTGCTGGGGATTAATGGATTAAGTTTTATGTGAAGCCTTGCTGGGGATTAATGGATTAAAGTACTGTATATATACATATACACACACACAATTCTAAAGCTATACCTAATCAAGTACTTTTAGATTCATATATAATCACCCAAAGTTGATTTTAATAAATATGCACCTTTTTTCCACACCCACATAGACACACACACACACACACACACTTACACCAAGCCTTCGACACACGAAACGTCTGACACACCAAGCCTCTAACACATCAAGCCTCTAACACACCAAAGCTTGGACTCACCAACAATACAACACACCTTGAACACACCAGATCTTGAACACATTAAGCCTCTAACTCACCAAGCCTCTAACACACCAAATCTCTAACACACCAAGTCTTGACCTCACCAAGCCTCTTTCTCACCAAGCCTCTAACACACCAAACCTCTAACTCACCAAGCCTCTAACACACCAAACCTCTAACTCACCAAGCCTCTAACACATCTAACCTCTAACACACCAAACACTCACCAAGCATGCATGTGGGAATGGCGTAGTACACACAGATGAGAACAACAATCTCGTAGAACTGGAAGCAGATGAGCAGCAGGTAGAGCCAGACGTGCATGTAGCAGAAGGAGGAGAAGGGGGTGCAGCCGGCCAGGTGGGAGAACAGGGTCGAGTAGATGTAGCTCGTGGACAGCAAGGTCATGGTCAGGATGCAGAAACGAGACTGGAGATAGGTGGTTCGCTTGCCGAACTTCGTCGAGGAGAAATTTTAAAAGTTTCTAAAAATATGTCACGTGACTAGAATTTTTAAAAATGTTTATTCTCGTTATTTAAAGAACAAAAAAAGGGGGGAGGGACGGTGTTGCCGAGCGGTAGAGCGATAGACTGCTTGCCCGAAAGTCTCGAGTTAGGATCTCGGGCTCGAGAGTGTAGGACGTCCCTGAGTTCACCCAGCTCTAATGGGTACCTGACTCACGTTTGGGAATCAAAAGCGGTTGGCCATAGTGCTGACCACACTATCCCACCATATGCCGAGGTCATTAAAACAGATGAACTCTACTTCATCAGCCCCATGTGTCTTGGGCACGAACCTGTCAATTTAACAAAAAATAAGCTAAATGTTTAAGAACCTAAAATTGTAAAGTTTTCTGTTGCAAAAAATAATATGTATATCAAACAAAAAGTAGCTAGCAAGTTATATGAACCTAATAACATTTTTTTAGATAATACGTTTTTGAAACCGTCTCTTTAATGCAGATGAGAATATAAAATAAGAAACATTCAAAATATTAAACCACTAATTTTTCAGAATATCTTCATTCGTATTAGGGGAGTGGGGTGGGGGTAATATATATATATATGTATATATATATATATATATATATATATATATATATATATATATATATATATATATATATATATATATATATATATATATATATATATATATATAGGCGTCTTATTAAACTTTCCCAAAACATTTTCCCAATTATTTTTTAGGCCAGCTCTAGAAACGCATATGAGTATCTCTCACATTTTAAAACCATCTATACACATACAATGTTTGGGTTCTGATTTAACATAATGAAAAATGTTAAAGCTTTCGAAAAACGTTCAGAAATTAAAATAGGTTTTCTCACTAGTGGGTGAAAAAAGACAAATGTATTTTGAACTCAATAAAATTATCGAGGGAAAATAACGCTAAGAGTTCAACTGAGAAACAACTAATATATTTATCATCAATTGGAATTCCTTTTACCCAGGAATAAAATAAATAAAAGCTCGTAGACTATTTAAATTGTGGGTACTGGTTATTCAGCATTGAGCCCGTATTACCGTAGAAAATGAATTCGCATTTCGAGATTTTGAAATTTATTTTGCAATATAAATATTTATTACTCATTTTAACGCAGTCTTTTGTAAAAATAAATCACTGAACAAGGTTTAGTTGACCTCTCTGTTATTCTGTTCCCGGGTCGCTAGACGACGGATACATTGTATTGAACTAAGGGAAGCTACTCTCTTTTTTTTTCTAAGAGAAAGGGGATTTAACCCACTTGAGTGGCTTCCAGAAGAAATGTTACATTTTTTAAAACTAGTTTGTGACTCCTTAGAAGTCCTGATGTCCAGAGTTTCAAATTTTTTTGTAAAATGAATATGTTATCAAACAAAAAAAATATTCAGATTCATTTCTTTCATGTCTCTTTATCGTTAAAAAATATTTGGAAAAACTCGCTTCGTGGGCGTAATTTTTGACCTGGGCTAGAGGTCAGGCTAATTTTTATATAGCCTTAAGTTTAAGGTTAGTATCGATATTAGCGACACTATTCAGTTTTATTAAATTGAGTTCATCAATAATTTGTTTACTAGAACAGTAGCCTATTCTTGACAATATTTCAATTTTGTTCAAAACAATTCAGGTTACTTTACACATGAGCAGGATTAGAGTTAACTAGAAAGTTAGTGTTAATTATTGTTCAAAACGATACCTCGAAAACAGCAAAGTCGATATTTTCAAAATGGTTGAGCCACAGGTTGGCAGTTTGAAATTCCCGGCTCGCCTCCAAAAGGTAGTGTCTCCAGGGTGGCATGTACAGAAGGTTGTGGGCCGCCACTATACGCCTGAGGGTGGGGGAGGGGGTGGAGAATTTACATTTCCGATTACAGGAAACAGTGATTTCATTGCTTGGTGGTCAAATAAAAAAAAAAAGTAAAGAATCCTTTTTAGACCTAGCGATCCATTTGGGTATATAAAGTAAAAGCTCATATGTTTTTTTACCTCGGCCTATGAAGGTAAGGTGTGGTCAGCACTATGCCCAGCCGCCTTTACTTTTCCCAACATAAGTCAGGTACCAATCAGAGCTTTGATCGCTCAAGAGATCTCCTACATATTTTAGTGACCAAAGCTTCTATTTTAAAAGTCAAGCTTGTTTTCTTTTCTCATGTTCAGTGCTATTAAAAATCTTTTATTAGGCCTATGTTTTTTATTTTCTTTTTGTTTTGTTTTTTCTTCTCACTTTTTAAATTAAATAGTCACCACGTAGACTACGGGTAAAAATACTCGCTTTAAAACCCTATCAGTAGCTTAAAATCCTTTAAAGACAATTATCGGTCGATTCTCGGGCAAGAAATCAACCACCCGTGACAAATAGTTCACTGTTGTCGGTTGATTTAGCGCCCGCTAGTATTTAATTTTGTTATCTCCCCTTTTATTATTGAATTTTGTAATTTATGACTAACCTAATAATTAAGTAGAGTAAATAGACTATATATATATATATATATATATATATATATATATATATATATATATATATATATATATATATATATATATATATATATATATATATTGACATTGGAAATTAATGTTTGTGGAAAAGGGTGTATTAGAAAAAGGTTAAAATTGAGTTACAAGATTTTTCAAAAACCTACAAACAAACAAACAAAAAATACAGAAACTGCGGCCTAAATAAAAGCAGATAACAACTAAAATCAGACAAAATATTTTTCAAACCAAATTACTTGGGTAAGACTCCACTTTTCCGGCGTCGTCGGAATATGGCCCTGGGCTTGGTCACGCAGGCGGCGTCCCCTTGTTTATCGGGCACGTCCAATCCCTCCCCATCCCCTGGAGGGGGGAACTCGACTGGGGCGGTGGCACCTTCCATTAGATCGCACTTCCCTGCTCCACCAGACACCCACACACTCGTGTGTTTGGTACCGACTCCATGGCGTGCCTTTAAAAAAGTTAAGTCCCCTATTCAGACCTAAAGAACCATATCACAGATGAAGTAGAGTGTATGTGTTTCTTGACTTCCACTTGGGAAGGGAAAGTGTGGTCAGAACTATGCCGTGCCATCTTAACTTTCCCTGACGAGAGCCAGGTACCCATTTGCCCTGAGTGAACTCAGGGATGGTCTACAGACTCGAGTCCAGACCGAGATCCGAACTGAGATGTACGGGCTAGCAGTCGAGCGCTCTGCCCCTCAACCACACAGTCCTAATCATGCCGTGTGAGAAGAGAAACATGTCCGTTACATTGAATTAGTGTTCTTATTGCCGTCCCTGAGTCCACCCAGCTCTGATGGGTACCTGACTCACGTTAGGGAAAGTAAAGTCGGCTGGAAATAGTGCTGACCACACTATTCTTTCATATGCCGAGTCACAGAAACAAGTGAACTCTACTTCACTTGCCCAAAACACCGTCAGGTTTTAAAGGGAACTTGACTTACTTACTTAAAAAGGAAAAATACAGATTTCTGGAAAAATATCTAAACTATTAATAAGCTAAAGTAACAAAGACATTTTTTTTTAAAATTCTTATGAAACATATTTAAAAATGTTACCGCAAAAATGTATGAGTACGGCTAGTCTGCTCTTCCCGCCTGTATGTCTCGCACTAAACGCACGTGAACACAACTAGTGCGCTTTGGTGTGTATCGGGAATTCCCGATGCTATATGCACATTACATTTTTCTTTTCATTAAAAAGTGCACTCGAAGCGAGTGCAAGTCCAAATGTTGATTTTGATTCTTTATTTGCTCATAGATTAAAATAAATTACCATGCTTTGTGTAAAGGGCGCATACACACACACACACACACACACATATATATATATATATATATATATATATATATATATATATATATATATATATATATATATATATATATATATATATATATATATATATATATATATATATATGGGGTATATTATTGTGTGTGAGGATATTGCCATGAAGGTGCTCTAATTGTCACATACTCTACTTTGTCTATTCAAGAAATAGTGCTATAGTGTTTCAGGACAATGCCTACATGTGCAGCATTGTTTTCTTATCAAAGACCATGTAGCGTTATATCGCTAACATATTAGTTTATTTGTGTTTAATATAGATACTTATAAAAATTGGCGATTTAAATTTTAAAATCCTAACTGTTGCGAAGAAGCGAGCTATACTGGGGGAGAAAGGGGGGATGGGGGGGGGGGAAGAGAGGGTATTGTCGAATTCACAAATGATGAATGACTGAAAAGTAGCAAATAAAACAACTAAATAGCAGCGTATGCTTGCGGCGTGGGTCAGCTCATATAGATGGTTCGTTTCAAAGTTAAATATGGTGGTTCAATTATCCTCCTACCCCCGCTCTATATTTTATATTTTGTGTATGTGTCTCTCTTTGGAGACCACCCAACCCCCCCCCCCCCCCCACACACACACACACACTGAGAAAATTAGTTCTAGGCACATTAATAATCTATATATATAATTCTCCTCTTCGAGCCGTTAGAAAACAAGCTGCAAACGCTCTCCCTACCTCCCCACCCCTACATGGTTTTAGTGAGCTGTGTTCACTCTAAATGTTTACAAGCAGAGCCAACGATTTTAAACGTAGGGGGGGAGGGGGGGGGAGGAAGGGGGGGGGGGTTATGGTCCTTAACGAGCTACTTATAGTGTTTTAAAGAAATATTTTCAGTGTCAGCGTTGGTACTGTCGAATTCACAAATTATGAATTATTGAAAATTAGAAACAACTAAATAGCGGCGTATGTTATGCCGCGGGCCGGCTCGTGAATTGTAATAGAAAACTTCTGCCCTCCAGTCTCAGATATTATTTTTTACCTTCATTCTTTTTAGCGAAACTCTTTTTAAAAACTGTCAGTGAACTTATTTATTTATTTTTTACATTTTTTTTACTAAGGCAAGGTGAATTGAGCATGTTGAGATGTTTTCATCTATTGGTTTTAAAAAAAAAGCAATGTTTATAGCTGGAAACATGAAATTGTTTTAAGAAACCATTTTTCAAGGTTGAATGGAATGGCCTTCACGACGCTGAGGGATAAAAAATGTGTTCAGGGCCGTATTTTCTGTGTGGGTATGGGGCGGGGTTGTGTGGGCAAACAAGCCTTCGTGGTTAAGTTGAACATATTTCACTGTATTTTTATAAACAAAATTTATTTGTTCGGACGTTTTTTTTAAATGGAGAGGAGGGTGGGGGAATAATAGGATGAACTGTAACAATTAAGTTTTTAAAATGTTGACTTTATTTTTTTTATCTTCTATAAGTATCAGAATGGGAGGGGAGGGAATAGTCCTCCCCCCCCCCCCCCCCGTCCTCCCCCACAGAGTACCCTTAACACAGCTCACAGTACATGCTGAGGGGAAAAAAAAGATCCAACAATCACATCATGTGATCCAACAATCACAACATGTGATCCAGAAATGACAGCAGGTATAAAAGACCCGGGTTGACCCACCCGGGTCAAGACCAACACACACAAAAATTGCGCCAGCATTAGTAGGCTGGATTAGCAGCTGTATACTTTTAATCTGTGAGTATTTTTTATTTAATTTAATCTGCGAGTTACTACTTTATTAAGTTTATTTGAACTGAGTAGCTACTTTATTTTAACCTACGTATGTTATCCTTTAAATTTAATATGTGTAGCTTGTTTTCTTTAAATGTAATCTGAGAAGCTGTTTTATTCTTGTAATGTAATGTTTGTAGCTTGTTTCTTTTAATGGAATCTAAGAAGCTACTTTATTCTTTTAAACTGAGTAACTGCGGGTACCTTGTCTACCTCAACCTTTAACCCAAACTTTCGGGGTCGGCGTGGTCGAGTCGGTAAAGCTCATGGTTGCTAAACCGAAAAGTCTCGAGTTCGAACCCACGGGCAGATGAGGCTCGTTAGCTGGGGACAGCCACTCTTCTAGGAGAGACAACTCCAAAATTAAACAACTGCTGCCTTGTAGTTTGTTCTTGGTTGGACAAAGGCTATGGAAGCAAATCCAAAAAGAAAAGCAGGCTGAAATCGGAGTCAATGGCCTCAATGGCGCATAACCAGTTGACACGTAACGCTTAATTGTGTTGGAGGCGTGGTCGAGTCGGCAAAAAGCTCATGGTTAATAAATTTGAACAAAGTCTCGAGTTCAAACGCACTGGCAGATAATTCTCGATCCCCTTCAACACTAATAATTAAGAACGAAGAAGAAGAAAAAGAAAGAAACCCAAACTTGTCCGAATTTTAACTAATGTATGTAGTGTTGTATCAGAGTAGCACGGTAGAGCTAGACTTGACACTCTCTGATATTAGTACCTACATAGCAACATAGCATATTCTTCCAGATTACTGCATTGTTTTACGTGGCACTGCTCTTAGTTCCATATTATATAGTAATAACTGCACATTTATAAAGTCCACCATGCAAAAATAGTCCAGTCTTATGGTACTCTGATCCAAACTAAACTTTAACAAATTTCTCACTCTCATTAATTCTGGTGGTACAAAAATTTGACACCAACCTTTGACTAGTTTCACTCATCTACTCTGGTGGTACGGAAATCTAAAATAACTTAAACCCATTTTAGTCTCATGAATTCCGGTAGTACGGAAATCTAACCTAAAACTTTAACCCATTTCAGTCTCATGGATTCCGGTGGTACGGAAATCTAACCTAAAACTTTAACCCATTTCAGTCTCATGGATTCCGGTGGTACGGAAATCTAACATAACTTTAACCCCTTTCAGTCTCATGGATTCTGGTGGACTGCCCTACAACTACTCCGAGGCGAACATGAAGGTGGCGCCCATCATCACGTCTTTCAAGAGCACCGTGGTACTCGAGGAGATGTGTTTCAACGAGGAGAAATCTGCGGTCATGGAAGATCCGGTGCCAGTGGACTCGTTCAGTCATCGGTTTGTGGATTTCTGGAGGAACAAGTACACACAGGTCGATGCTTCCATCAAAGACGTGCATCTGGCGTTGGCTCATAAGGTTCTGTTGAAGGAAATCAGGAGAGAGATGAATGTGCAGGTAAGGTCAAGGTTTGTGTCCGGATATAGGGCTTGTAAGTAGGTCACACACGTCTCGTTTTCGTACTTGCAGAGATAGCATTTATCAAACCGAATGTGAATATTTTTATTAAATCTGTTAAAAGATTAATAAAGAAGTTACTTCCGCGATGAGTTAAAATCGTAAGCAATGGTAAAAGTAGACAAGATATAGGCTAGTTTAAAGACAAATTTGACTACGTAAAATGGATTTTTTTAAAGAAGCGAACAATTTATTTATTCGAATCCGTAACAAGGTGTCCTTAACGTAGTTATACTAACCTAGGCTTACCGGTACTTAATTTTATTCTATTCGTAAACTGCTTATAATTGTTAGGTGGGCCTACTCTGGTTTCAAAAATTTGATGGGAGGCCTAGAAACCAATAGCCGCCATGTTTCAGTTTTGGTTATCAATGTGAATCATGTTCACATCAAGTTAGTTCTAAAGTAGGCTATATCTCTCCCTGGGTAATATTTCAAATTTTAGGAGTTTAATTCCTTTTGTAGACTAGAAATCAGGACTAATTGTGGTTTTGGAATTGAGTTGAGGGGGAGTAACTACTGCATTAAATTCGGCGAAAGGCTTAAATTAATATTGACGTGACCACATGCGTGTAGGTCAATAGGGCTGGTAAGTAGGTCACCAACCAGTTCTACGGCTCAATAAAACCTGCATGAGCCATAGAACTGGTTGGCGACCTACTTACCAGCCCTATAGGCTCACATCACTGCTCACCATGTAGATTCATGAATGTATATAAACAAATAATTCAGTTACTCTCAAAACTCGTAAGAATCTTAAAATGCATAAATATCAGACCTTCGAGATTCATATAACAGACCAGACCTTCGGTTTAATGACAAATCTCAAATTTTTTCCGACCATCTGTTAATATATTAAGCTGATCATCAAATCTTCAATTATTTCAGACCATCGGTTTTCATATTAAGCTAATCATCAAATCATCAATTATTTCCGACCATCGGTTTTCATATTAAGCTGATCATCAAATCTTAAATTATTTCCGACTTTCGGTTTTCATATTAAGCTGATCATTAAATCTTCAATGATTTCCGACCATCGGTTTTCATATTAAGCTGATCATCAAATCTTCAATGATTTCCGACCATCGGTTTTCATATTAAGTTGATCATCAAATCCTCAATTATTTCCGACCGTCGGTTTTCATATTAAGCTGATCATCAAATCTTCAATTATTTCCGACCATCGGTTTTCATATTAAGCTGATCATCAAATCTTCAATTATTTCCGACCATCGGTTTTCATATTAAGCTGATCATCAAATCTTCAATGATTTCCGACCATCGGTTTTCATATTAAGCTGATCATCAAATCTTCAATGATTTCCGACCATCGGTTTTCATATTAAGCTGATCATCAAATCTTCAATGATTTCCGACCTTTGGTTTTTATATTCAGCTGATAAAATCTTCAATTATTTCCGACCATCGGTTTTCATATTAAGCTGATCATCAAATCTTCAGTGATTTCCGACCATCGGTTTTCATATTAAGCTGATCATCAAATCTTCAATGATTTCCGACCATCGGTTTTCATATTAAGCTGATCATGAATTCCTCCCATAGGTGACTGACGAGCTCTACGAGTCAGGCTTTAGGAAACGAAACATGTTTGTGACTTTCTACATGGCCCCAGAAGGGAAGTTCACTGTAGACTTTGCCAAGTTGCCAGTCAACTTGCCTACGCTTCAGAATGTGTGTATATCCGTATGGCAGTTCTGTTTATACATAGTTTTGTGTTAATTTTACCCAATTGTTTAATATTACTCTTAAAACCGTGTTGTCTTATGGAAGATAGCGTGCCAATAGTACTAGTCTTCTAACATAGGCTTAGATGCAATTAACTTTTGTTGCTGGGGTTCTGTTGGGTGGCGTTGTGGAGGGGTTCTGTTGAGGGGTAAGGCATTGTGTATAGGGCCTCTGTTAGTAGAGGGGTTATTGTGGGTGGGGTTCTTTTAGGGGCATTGTGGAGGGGTTGTTGTGAATTCGCACTGCGATGGGGTTATTTGGGTGGGGTGGGGCATTGTTTAGCGAACTAGAACCAATCTCTTAGAATCAAAGACTTTCATTTAAAAATCGTTCTATTCCACCGTGGCAGTTGAATAAAAAATACCTGGGTGCTCGCATCCCAGGGTTCCAACCAGTGCACCTGAGCACTGACCTGATGCACATGCTGATCAACCTGGAGGCCAGAAGACTGCTCACTCTCAACGCGGACAATGTCCTGTCTCTGAGGGTGGGGGCGGAGTACTTGAACTTCATCCAGGTCAAGGTGAGAGGTTGTAATTTCAATTATACAGATGTCTTAGTTTTAAAACTTTAATATTTTTGCTGCTAAAAAAATCAATGATAAATGAGTGATAGAAAATTAACTCATTAATAATTAAATGTACATCAATTTTTAACTTTTTTTTTCATCCCAGAAATTTTGCGAGAATTTCATCAGCTACTATTTGACAAATCAAAACCTGTTTCAAATTCTGGAGTTTGCCAACGACTACGGCTTCACAGTACTGAAAAAATACGCGGAGGGCTACCTCTGCAACCATTTGAGAGAGGTCTACAGTAATGCCGCCTTCTGCTGCCTGAGTCCTCGCAGGCTTTCCCACCTGCTGGGTTCTGACGACCTGGTTGTTCTGGAACCGGATACGTGGGTTCCCATGACAACCAGAGACCGGGAAGTGACGGTGTTTGAGGCAGTGCTTCAGTACCTGTCAGATTCCAGAAACAGGGAGCACTCGTACGTCGTGGAGATGATGCTGGACTCAGTCCGCATGCTGGACATTGGCGTGGACAACTGCTGGAACATTTTCTCAGCCTATCCGGAAGTGCGTCGGGTGGAGGCGATCAAGAGGAGGATGACCCTTGCTGGGAAGATTTACCTGGCCAAGGAGGATGCCGAGCTGACGGACCTGACTGCCAAGTGTCCGTTCGCGTGGAGCAGGAGACGGGTGCTGGCCCGCTGGAGGATCCACGAGACGGTCCGGTGCTACGGACCGGCCAGGTACCCGTCCATTGTTGGCCGGCATCCTGCCAATGAGGATCTGGAACTCTGTGGCTTTGAGATAAAAATCCAGTAAGTTGAATTTGTCTGTTAAATAAAATCATGAAAAAATTAACGATTTTAAGAAATTGAGGTTTGTAATTATTTTTTTAGGCAGCACAAGGACAAGTCATTTATTGGAGGACTGAAGACTTATTACAAAGACATTCATAAAGGAACTGTTGAGTTGGAGGTAAACAAGGGAATAGACACAGCAGATGGCACCATTAAGGTGAGAATTTAGGATCTCACTGTTCATAATTACAGAAGGGTGGGGGGGGGGGGCTTAGCCGGCTTAGCCTACACACGTAAGGGAGCATTTTTGTCAACGGGAGGTAAGTTAAGGCTGTGTAAACGTTAGCGAGTTAAGATTCTTTACGCTGTAGTATAACAAGAACAGTCGTCTAATCGATGAATGGCAGTTAGTACAACTTTTTAATTAAATAACTAATAAAAGAACAGTTGCGTAGTATAATTTACTTTGGCCACAGAGTATAAAATTTTATCTGTCATTTTTCATGTAAAATTATGTCCCTTGTATTAAAATACAAATTGTCTCGAGTTTTTTTTTTTTAATTCAACATTTAATACTATTTAATGTCTTCTAAAAGGTAGATCTTGGTGATGACTGCATAGTCTGTGCAAGCGTCGCAGATTCTGACTCTGCCGTTCACCGAATCGTCTTCTTCACACTAAAAGGAGACATCCTGGGGCCCTATGGAGACTTGCGAGGCGACGACACAGACTACACCGAATGCTTGAACGGGGCCAAGCATACTCGGCTCCACTCGATGGAGTTCGACAGAGCCATGGTGGATGGAGTGCCTCGCATTGTCAACTTGGGACTCCGGTGGCTTTGTTTCACTTGAAACTGCACACACTGCAGGGTTGGAGTCTACAGAACTTGCGTGGTTCTGTGTAAGCTGTATTGGTATTTTTTTTCTTCTGTGATACTGAAATTACTTAAGATTTATCTAAAGGTTTTTTAACTTTCATTTTACAAGAGATTTTATATATTTTTATACTGCTTTACATTCCATATTTTATTCCTTTACATTGTTGATTGTGCTCCATGTTGTTTTTTTTTTTTAACTATACAATGTGAATATTGCTTTAAAAATGCAAAATATTTTATATTTTGCAATTTGATTTAAATTTACAAAAACTAGAGAAAAAAACATAAGGAAGTGGGATTTAAGTATAAAATTACAAATATTTAATTAAAATGTTAGTTTTACGGTTTAGATAATTAATGAAAGGTAAATATTTTTTTTTTTTGGATATCAAATTTTTAAAATTGTATCCAATTTTTTCAAATGTAGTTGTATTACAAATCCTTCCTGAAACAAGTCTCCTCAGGTTAACATGAGGTTTTAACCTTACAATAAATGTGCAGACCACCAGAGTCACGTGAGAAGATTGAGGTATATTTTTAGCATCATGTTGTGATGCATGCTCTTTGTACTAGGTTTTTAAATGGTTAAGAAGAGTTGTCGACCCTCTAGTTTTGGGATTATAGTTTTGGGAAATTCTAATTTTGGGTTAGATTTTAGGTTTTTAAAATTAGTTTCGTTTGGCAGGTTGCAAATTGTATAGAGTGGAAATTTTGGAAGATGTTTGATTTAGTTAATAAAAATAGAAATTCTTTTAGGCAATTAGGTTTGATTAAAATTTTAATGGGGTCGACAGTCTTCAGAAAATGCATCAAGTTGGCTTTGATTTTTTTTTTTCAAGGGACTTTATGTATTTTATCATTTATCATTCATCATTCATCAGGACTTTTTTTTTTTGGTTTCACGTTAATTCATGTTTGGGGCAAAAAGATTTTCTAATCCTTATCACAGAGTGTGAAGACAAAAGATTTTTGTAAAAGATTTTTAATTTTCTATTTCAAAATGCTTTAGCTCTTCCCGCTGTGACAACACGAAAGTATTCTAAACTTCAGCAGTTTAAAAATATTAAGTTGTTCTTCTTGGCGTCACTTGGGGGATGTGACATCAGCTCTGCCTTGTAAAAATTCTCTATACGAACTCAATCGAGCATTAGATGTAAACATTTAAATTCCTTCATATTTCAGCATTAAGCTTGTCCATTGTGAATTCTTTGGTTTAACTTTCTTTGTTATTGTTGTTCCAAAGTTTTTTAATCGTATGCTCAAGTTTTGTTATTGTTTAATGCTGCATAATGTCTACAGCTTTGCTGTATACTATTGATTTACAAATGCCAATTTTTACAACTTATACACGTTTTTTTAAGAATATATTCCTTGTCCTAGGAAATAAAGAGCAATTTTTTTAGTAATCCATTGTTGGTTTTCATTTTATTAATGGATTAATTATTCCAAATAATGCCAGATGACCTTAGTTGGCCAGATAATGTTTAATGTAGCATATTTATGCTAATCGGCTTATGTTTTAATTCAGATTTTTCATTCAAACTATACTGTAATTTCATTACAATCGATTTTTATATTGACTTTTTTTGCGCGGATAAGTCAAGCTGTTTGATGTGCTAACATTTGTATAACGTCGTTACGAGGCGCTTTTACATATTTAACTATTCCTAATCACCAGCTGAATTGTATGAGAAATGTACTGAAAGGATTTACCGACAGAAATATCAGCAATGCTAACCATTAGATGACTGTGATCCAGAGCTGTTCCGCCAGGTTGGGTGCGTATGTACAGTTTCTTCTAGGCATCTCTTCGGCAGAGCCCCCCCCCCCCCCAACGAAATGGAATTTATATAGAAAATATACACTTTTAACAGTGCCCCCCCCCACCGGAGAAGTCTGGAAGAAACACTGTACATAATATCACACTCTGTCCGCCTCCCCCCTACATTTAGCAATACTTATAACATACTATTTAGTATGACCAGTATTTTCAAATTCTGAAGTAAAACGATTTTACCCTTGAAGAACCTGTCCTGGTCTGAAACTGTGCTCGTCTTTAGCTGGTGCTCGTTTCTGTCGGGTCACTACACAAACACATCACCCCCCCCCCCCCCACTCACTCACACGCACACAGTCCCACCAGCGGGACAGAGCATTGGTTTGATCAAACCACCCCCACCCACATAGGGTTGGTCAAACCACCCCCCCCCCCCCACATTGAGTTGGTCAAACCACCCCCACCCACATTAGTTTGGTCATGGAGAGCCTAAGCTATCACATTTTGATTACTCACCCCAATGATCTGGACCTGATCAAACACTCGAGATCGATGGCGTTCATCCCAATGACTAAACGCTAATACAAATTGCAACACAACGCGCTTAACAAAGTTCTAAAACTAAATAAAAGATGGTACCAAACATTTTTAACATGCATCACCCATTAGACTATTAAATTTTGTCGCACAGTCAATCCTTGTATAAATGTAAGCGACCAACGTTTTTGTGAGTGTAACAAGTTTTAGATGGAACTAGACTACCCGTTATCTAGTTAGATAACTGTGGGTTTTGGGGGTCATCCATAAATGACATCACGTCTGTCACTATCATCACAAAATACCCAGACCCCACATTCAAAAAGGCGTCACACCTCAGACGTTTTTGTCTTTTAAAAACACTGACTTCGTCTGAGCATGGGTCTGACAACATAATCTTTTCATATGCTGAGGTCACAAAAACAGGTCAGCTCTACTTCACCTGCCCAGTGTCCTCCCAACTCAGACATGTTTTTGTCTATGAAAACACAGATTTTGGCTGAGCGTAAGTCTGACTACAATATATCCATAAAGTAAAGTCAATGTTTTAAACTTTTAAAATTAATGTGGTTAATCTGCCTATGAATAAATCAATAAATTAATTAACGTCTTTAAATAAATTTGTGATTAACAGTCTGTCTGAAAACAAAAATTGTTCTCTACCTACATACTATTTTACAGCTCTCAACATAGAGCATATTCTCTCCAGTAGTTAATCAGACAAACAAAAAACAAATAAATATTCAAACATGTAAACAAACTTGAGTTTTAGTAGTATATAGATTACAATCTTTACCAGAACAATTTTCGACACTTCTTTTTTTATTGTATGAAATCTTTTACGGCAACCGCTAAACTCAACAGTTCTTGCTTAGTGGTATCGTTTTGATTAATAATAAAGTCAACCATATTCATTGGCAGCATTGCAGTGTTTACAAAAACAATATGTATATTAAATTAGTAAAAAATTAGTATTCTATTATTTTGTATCAGATAATGTCATGTCACCCCCCCCCCCCCCCCCCGAGTCATATTTAGGTAGGGACCAACTCTGCTACCCCTAATTTTAGAGCCACTTGAAGAACTTTCCCCGATTTGAGAGCCGCTTAAACGAGTTTCATTCACAAACATCGTGTACGCCCTCCTTAACAAAGGTAGAGTGTTGTCTTTAAACCTCAAAGCCGATGTGTCAATGCGACTAGAAGACAGCACCATGTCGTCTCTGTAATGGTGAACTATGGAGAGGTTCTGGCTGACTGTAATAAAGTTGGCATCGTCTCGGTGTTGAAAGGTGACGTGTATTCCACTATAAGAAATGTACTCGGGGCGTACAATTGTTTTTGACCGTATGGGAGATTTTAAAACGTTTTTATGTCTACGGACGTGGAGGTAAGGAAATATTTTGTTGTGTTGAAAGAAATTTTCCTCCTCTGTTGTGATGGAGAAATTTTTCTTGATCTGCTCCCAAAGAGTGGAGTTTGATAAAGTGTTGAAGAAAGCGGATTCAAACGTGAATGATCCTAAAGGTCTGGCCTTGACCTTGTGTTTACTTTGATATTCGCGTTCAGCTGCCTCGATCAGGTCTGACCAGGTCATGTGATGGTTTGGTATGATGAACTCGTCAGGATCTTGTATGACCACGTACTGGGATACAAACTTGTTGCGGTACACACAGTCGTTGATGGCGCTCATCTGACCGTAGTACCAAACGTGCATGACGTCATCTAACGGTAGCGGCCATTGCAGGACTGTGAGGACGCCTTCATCCTGATAGTGACGCAGCACTGCATCCATTTCCCGAGAGATGCTGTAGTTGTAGATGAAGAAATGCTGGGCGCCAAGGACTCTGTTGATCTCGATGGCCTGGATAATTCTAGAGATGTTATTGTAACCAAACAAAGCGGGGTAACACACTGTAAAGTTTCTCTCCCTTTGTTTGGGGTACTGAATCTCTAAAAGATTGGTCGGTGTGTCGTCAGGCTTGTATGTGATAGAGATGGAGGTTGGCTTGAAGTTTTTTTCTACAACACATTCAAACATCGTTGCTGTGTAACTGTTTATAAAAAACACTCCATTATTATAGTATATAAGAAATGAAACTTATTACAGAAAACTTAAATAGTTTTTTAAATATTTTAAATAGCTTTATATTTTTTAAATATTTTGATGAGTTTAGCCTGGGAAAAAAATAGCCATGAAAAACTGTAGAGCTCAGGAAAAGAAGTTTCTCTTTGGACAAAGCTACTTCATCTCTCTCTTGGACCGTCTGGTCCGAAACGGTAATTTGAATTTATATTTTAGAAAATAGAAAATTCTTACTTTTTGGCGTGGTCTTCTAATAAGAAAACACGGTTTCCAATATTTGTCCTAGTGTATCCATCCTTGTTCAATAGACAGAAGACCGTATGATTGGTGCGTGTGGCTATTCCTATGACTCTAATCATTGTCAACTTGGGACTCATTACGTCATAGTAGGCGGAATAAACCCAAGAATTATCGTCATTGATTGGCTGAAATGTCTCATTATCAGATAACTGGGTCGAACTGATAGTGCTTTGAAAATAAAATTTTATATTTTAAACTTATTTTAAACTTAATATAAATTATTATACACACTAAACTATGTTAGCAGTATATGCAGTGTACTTATGTAAAAAGATTATCAAAAAAATTATGCAAGTTAAAAAATTATTTACAATTTATTTATTATTTCCTACAGCAGTGGGATTTCCCATTTTGGATAACTATAGGTAAGAAATAAATAAAGTTACAATGACTACAGGTGCACAAACCCGCAACTGATGGGACAGATGGCATATTCTATTCCCGGGAAAAACGTCATATATCAGTTAGACAAATGTATTACTTTGTTGTTTTTTAGACTCTTATTCCAGTGAGTCCATAGTTTGCACGCCACGTATTTTCTGGTATTTATTATTATTATTATTTCCTGCTTTTAAAAAAAAAAATCGGTATATCTCCTATTTCTACTTGTATGCCATAGATACCAAACAAGTAAATTTGATATAATAATTGACACTCTTTATAAAGAGCAAAAAAAAGGCACATTCATTCAGATTTAATATTAGTTGACATACAATGTTGCCCGGCTATGCTAACTAAAACACACTGAGCCAGAACTAAGCCTGGCCGGAACCGCAAGTTAAGAGTAAAAATGTTAACACTTGTGTTAAACTAACATTTTACTCGGCAAAGCATCCATGACAATTTCATTTTTAACAATTGGAAGCTCTTTTGTACTTTGTGCGATTGGGCCTGTGACTTTTAAATAGCGTGCGACGATGTACATCCATAGAAATGGGGCACCAACGGAGAACGCTAGAACAGGTTTAGTGATGGGTCTATGTCGCTTTGACATTGTCTTTACTGTAGGTAGGACATCTTTTTTCATTCATGTCTTGGTGATGGACTTCTTCATGTCAACATTATTCTGCAAAAATGTGGTCTTCAGTTTAATGCTTACGTATATAGTATATGTACATAGAATTGATTGATTTAGTAAACTAGTATAAGTAAAAATGAGACACTAACAGGAGTGTGAATCGGAAGTAACAAACTAAGCGGAAGTGATTTTGGGATATTTAGAGTGGGTTAGAGATTATTCGTGTGTTATATGGCAGTGTATAAATATGAGGTAGCAGTGGCGTCGCTAGGTTGGGTGTCACCCGGTGCGGCACTTGTGGTGTCACCCCTCCCCCCAAGAAACAAAATATACATACATACAAACCTGCTAAGTACACTTTTTGAAGAAAATAAGTTACTCCTAAAACCTTCTCAATTAAGTGGCAATTAAAGTAGTATAGTAATTTTTGTTCAAAAAGGTAGGCCTATGCATTAAAATAAATTATATAACAGTAAAATATTAAAAGTCAATTTCTTCGAAATCAACCAAAAGTGGCGTAGCAGGTTTTGAAAGTGGACTCCTCTTTTATATACAAATTACTAAATTTATTAATGGGACAGGCAAAAAAAGCATTTTTCTTCAGAAAATTTGGCAAGTTTTTGCCTTGGTGTCACCCTCCCCTAAATGGTGTCACCCGGTGCGGCCCGCACCCCCCGCCCCGCCTCGCTACGCCTCTGTGAGGTAGAAAGGTGTAAGTTAGCTAATATAGTGTCCAGGCGAACGACTGTTAAACCCAAAGAGTTCGGACCTGGGACTTGAGTCCGTAGATCCCACCAGCTCTTAAGGGACACCTAACTCATGCTGGGAAAGTACACGCGGCTTTACGTCGAAATGACAGTACAATCCACTTGGTAAGCCGAGGTCAAGTAACGGACTAACTCTACTTCGTCTGATTCATTGACCGCTGGGTGGGGGGGGGGGTGTTGGCCAGGCACAAGTGCGCATGGTGGGAGTGAGTGACAAAACTATTCCTCTCCGTCTATGAATCGAACAATATCACTCCCCGGGGCTGTGCGTTGAACTGCTCAACTCTTAACTTATGTTACACGATCAAATCTTGATCTACTCGCTAACGTCTGGACCCGATCTAACACACACACACAAACACACTGACACACACACACACGAGCGTGATGGTTGTGAGGGTGCAAGCCTATTCAAAAGACTTTGATACCCAAAAGTTGTTGCACGGATTTTGTTATTTTTTTTTTTGGTCGCGCCTTATATTGGGTAGGAAAGGGAAGCATGAAGTGGAAAGAGGGAAGCGCGATCGAATGAATGGTGTAGTACTGCATAAAAGTCAGGGGGGAGGGAGCAGCAGTAAATCAGTCGTGTGTGTGTGTGTATTTTAGTGTAGTTTTTGCAAATGTATGCACCAAATTCTTAATACAGTTTTAAAAGAGGCTGTCTTAATATTATTTAATTGACAATTTTGAAATCGTAACTAGATCTATAAGGCGACACGAACTATCATGTCGCAAATAACTGTAACTCAACGTGAGATAATTTTCATTTTAAGGGGTCTAATGGATGGTGGTGGTGGGGGGGGGCAAAATATATCCTGCCGACGCCATTGATATGGAGAACCGTATTTATACATTTGGTTAACCGTCATATCAAACTGTAAGACAGAGCAGTTACAATTTAAATTTCTCTAATAATGCTTTATGAATGTTTTTACCCAATTTTTTTTTCAAAATAATTTAATTCTAGTTAAAAGTATTTCATGTAAAAAAGCGATTCTTCGTGTTAATAGTCAATCGTTGATTCCGTTTCCGGTTGAATAATAGTAAACAAAATCGTCAGTGTGTCAACACAGTAAGCCTACCTAAAGGCCTAAACAGTGGTCTGCTTTTTAAAATTTCCTTTCAACTTAAAAAAAATGACACGACATGGTAGGAACTGTACAGCAGGGACAGTTTACACTTACCATGAAAGAAAAAAAGATACTCAAGCGTCAGGCTTTGGTTCTCAAAAAGTCAGGTTCGGCAAAGATGCCGTGAAGGTAAAATTATTAAATTATATTAAATTAGAAAATAAAATAATAGGCCTATTAGCCTAAATTAGGCCTAAATTAGTCTTAAGCCTATATTTTTTGTAATTTAATTTATTATTAGGCTAATGGCTAAAGAGAGACTAATGACTCTCTAAGCTAACTAAATACTCAAAATATACCAAGACCCCTTCGCAATATTTAATTATTATTTATCGTTTAGTTTTAGGTAGGCCTAACTAATTATAAAAAAAGGCAGATGCTAGCCGGAAAAAGATATGCATGGGCAGTGGAGAGAAACTTCGACTTGCCTTCGCGGCGATGTTTTTTATTGTAATGCAAAGTGTGTGTTTACAACCGCAGAATCCTAGCCCTAACCCCAACTAATCCTAACCTTATCCCTAACCCTAGCCATAGGTCACTGCTCATGCGCAAAACTATCTTTTGCTGACTAGCTGGAGACATTGGGGCGAAAAATCTTTTTCCGAGTAGTCACTTCGTAAAAAAAATATATTATGAATATTAGCTACGTCATTAGGCCTATATCACCAACTGTTACAGCAGTTGCTATGCTCTGAGCGTTTGATACTATTTAGTAGTCTTAATAAAGACTTTTTTTAAATTTACCACATTGTTTTGCAAAACCAAAATTTTAATTGTATTACCATGTCAGCATATCACAATAGCTTTTTCCTTTTGCAGTTTTCAGTATAAATCAATATCTTTTTGATATATTAATTTTTACATTTTTTTTGTTGTAAATGCCAATTTCATTCAACTTCATTGTTTGAACAGTTCTGCCTGAGTAAAATCATTTACCAGTGACCCACAATTTTTTGTTTACAATACAATTATAAATATATTTGGGACAGACTTTAAGATTAAATACGTTAGTTTTAATAGTTAAATGTAATATAAAAGTAATTAGGCACCACAATAGTAACTGATCTGAATAGTCTTTAATTATTTTTAAATTTTATCCATCTTTAGGAGTTTGATTGCTGTTGCCTTACACTACAGCCATGTAAAGATCCAGTTATCACGTGAGTATAACTTATATGAGTATAATGACTTTATCTTTCTTATAAATTCCAGCCTAATTATCTATGTGATTTGGATCTTTTGCTTTCTAAAAATTATTTCTATTTCTAAGTACTTTAATTGTAGAATAGTTGAACTGTATAAATTTGAGCTTTCTGATATTGAAAATGTGCATAAATGTACTTTATATCATATGGGCTACTTTACCTATTATTGTTTGTTTTTTTTCCTCAGGGAAGATGGTCATCTGTATGATAAAGAAGCCATTTTAAAGAATATTATACATCAGAAAAAGGAAATAGCCAGAAAACTCAAAGAATTTGAAAAGCAGAGGACTCGAACTGAGGTGTGTAAGGGTTTACGCTAATGCTTGTATGAGTGAAATACCAAAATCATGTTTATTAACCTTTTAATTTTGTTATGCTTGCCAGTAGCACAATTCAAATATTTAATATTTTCTCTTTTTGGCAAAAAGATAAGGCTGCATAGTTGCAAAAAAAGTATTCAGAAATTCTGTTTTTACCCTAATTATTTTGCAAGTTGTAGATCTGTATTGAGCGATGTTTTAAACTAACGTTTGTTTTCCCAGAGGTGGGAGAATATATATGAGAAATAACCATACCACGTTATAATTAACTTAGTTTAACCCTTATGTGTCTGTTGCTTATATATCAATTAATTTAATTACATTGAAAAAAACTGATTTAAAGAATTTCTTTTAGCCCGGCTAATTTTATTGTCTGTTCATCAACTGCACTGAAATGTATTCTTGTAGAAAGAAACTGGTATTAAGAATAAGATTTTTGTGTCTGTCCATCAACTGCACTGAAATGTGTTTTGTTGTAGAAAGAAGATAATTTAAAGAAACTGTATTTACTGCCTGTACATGAACTATACTCAAACGTTGTTTTTTTTTTGTTGTTTTTTTTTTTTTTGTAGAAAGAAGCTGAAGAGCTGGCTAAAGCCGAACAAGAGTCAAGGGCTGTGAAGTTTGCACAACAGGAATCCAATCCAATTGGTCAGAATTATGGTAAGTTTTTTTAAATATTGTTTTTTACTTTGAACAATGAAAATAAGTTATACTGAAAAACCAAATTCGAACAACCTACATCTTCGGTAACTGAAAAAACCGGCACATGATGAATTGAAGATTACCTCTGAACAGCATTGAAAATGTCATTTGAGAAAGCTATTTCCTTTATTGTAATAACCTGACCCTATTGAGATTTGTGTGCTTTCTTTGACAAATAGGCCTCTACTTGAAACATCATTAGATGTGGAGGGAAATATTTTCTAATAAATCTTGTCTGACAAAATGGAGAACATTTTCTCAATCTGCTCCCACAAGGTTAAGCTTAAGAAACTTTAAAAATTTGCTGCCTCAAAGTTGAACAATCCAACAGTTCAGCCCTTAATCGTGTGTCAACCTGCTAATTCTGCTGTCACAGCTGTTCTGACCAGGTCATGTTATGGTTCTAGGATTACCTCCTCCCCCCTTTGAGTTCTATAGCATACTCAGGGAAAGTACAAAATACAATGTATGCTGTACTCAGGCATTCTAAAGAATACAAGGTTTCTCACTTACCAATACTATGTATAATAATTATTTTCAAGAGAAGGGAGGTAATATATCTAGTGGGGATATTCTTCACCTATTCTTTGTATCCTGTTGTCTACTGTACTTTTGCAGGGTGCTCAAATAAAATGTTTTTGAATTATAAGTTTTGACTTTACTAAATCTTATAAAGCGTTTTAGCTTTTATAGATCCAATAGCACATAAACATAAATGTTGTGTGTGTGGAAGAGAATATATAAGTTGATCTTTTAACCCTCATTAAAATATAATAACTACCCTGCTACCAATTATCCTCTAACTACCTTTTTAGCTACCATTCTGTATAGAGGCGTAGCTACCCACTTGTGTCAGTTTTAAGGGTTCAGGTTTGGGTTTGACAGAAATTGCCCAGTATAAGTGCATCACTGTTTTCATTGGTCCATATTAATAGTCGTTGCCATGGGTTTCCTGTTGTTTGAATTCCTGTTGGTATTTACCATACAAAGAGTTTAATGTCACTATTTTTAGTACTTCTTGCGTTGAAGAGTGTTTGATATGTAACCTGTCAATTGAGAGAAACACAATTAGATGCTAGTTATGTCATTTCTTAGCATTGTGAAAGTAGATTGACAAAACTTCAATTAAGTGTTACAAATTTTTAATTTGTACGACAACTGGTTACTTTTCTTTGTGTCAAAACATTTTGTTACCCATCAATCATGTAAAAATCCTACCAATTTTTGTTGGCAAAAAAGCACCCCCGCCCTCCCATTAACCCCTTCCCCATCGTTTGTAAATGGTGGGGAGGTCGCATTTTACGGGTCATTGCTTTTTGCGTTTTTTATTTTGCTATTACATAATCGATACCGACAACAAAAATTAGTCTGTAAAAATTAAGTAGCTCTTTTACTAACTGTGCCTTTTGTGGAATTCTGTAAATAGTTCAAAATAAGGTTTTCAGTATTGTTTTTGTCCTTACTAGCGCTCCGTAAGGTTGGCGGCAGCCTGCTCTCCCCTAGCTACGCCTATGCTGCTGTCACAAGTCTGTAGCACCATTGTAGTGGAGTAAAAATGTTTGTGGATTCCAGTGAACCCTTGACTTGATCCAATCTATTCCGTTGAGAAACCGTTGCCGCATTTAGCAAAGAACCAAATGTGAGCGTGTTTGTATTATTTTTAACACCCGTCTTAAGTTTGGTTGACTAGAAAGTATTGGATAGATAAAAGTGATAGTGCAAGAGGTGGCTGACATTTTTATGGGAGATATTGATGTTTGTATGGGCATGATCATAGCCTTGTTTTGTAATGAATGTCTGCTTAGCGTCTGCTTATCACAATCTTGCCGTCCGCAAACATTTTGTTCCTCTGTCGTCAGGTATAAAGGTGGTTTCTTATTTCTACTTTCCTACATATCTTTATAACGATCCCCCCCCCCCCCCCACCATACACACACACTAAGACACATCTTAATAGCAACCGGCTTAATAGCAACCGACAAAGGGACTGAAGACTAATTAATTTGACTGGCTTTTTTATACGAGTCCTTATGACCTGCACGATATCAGCCATTAAAACATAGGCGGCTGTGCCCAATGGAAGAGATTTTCTGTTACTTTCTATTGTATTATAATTGTTTACATCCGGCCTTTAGGAGTGAGTATTATGGTTTTTTTATATAGATGTTCACCTTTTTTCCTAATTAATTCTTTTGACGGGGCTCTTATGTCGGGGCCGTTTTGACACCGCACGGTTTTTTTTTTTATTTGCTTCTGTAGCCTTGTCCATCCAAGAACAATCGGATGTATTCGGACAAATCATTCTTGGTGGTGGTACATTGTTGATCTTGTAAACCACAAGCAAAATGGGTCTTAAAAAGAACAAAAGCGTGGTTTAATTTCGACATAAAACACCATACACAGCTGTTCCACAATAAAAATCCCCAGCGGTCCCGGCCAGGCGCTGTTCAAGCTACTTAATGTCAAACATTGTGCACATACTAAAAAACAAGTGTCAACATTTTCACTTACACACTCCCAAGATTAACGAAATGCTGACGTGAAATTCGTATCCCCTCAAAAAATAAAATTATATTGTTAAGTAAAAAGAAGTACAAAGGGATAAAAGTAAAGTATTCCCAACATGTTAGGAAAAACAAAGTCTCACACGAAAGTTAGCCGCACCGACCAGGCACTGCCCTGGCTGTTTTGTGATCTATATCGATGTTTAGCCATTTGACTCGTTCAGCCACTATCGAGTTATTCTAAAACCATGTAAGTATTTTTAACAGGGTTTTATGTTCAACTTTTACCACAACTTCTTACTTAGACTAAATCAGGCAAATATCAAACCAAATGCCTAAGTAATATTTTATTCAATGCACACTATATTGGTTTTTTTTTATAAACACATTCTCAGGAGGTGTTTACTTTTAGTGTTGGTTGTTTTTACAAGGATGCGTTGTCGTTTTTTTTAAAGCTGGGTTCTTTTTATTCAGAATAGTTAGAAAGCATCTAAGTTTAAAAAAAAAAAAACTCACACCCATTATTTCAATTTAAATGTTGATTTGAAATGTCATCCATTTTAACCAAATAAATAATCAAGACGAATGTTTATTTTATTCTAAAGTGCCTCAGCCTTGATTAAAATTAATTTATGTAAGTGTTATTGAAAGTCGCGTTTTTTGTTGTAAGAAGAAAAATACTTCACGTAGTACTTTGGTTTTGAAACAACAATAGAGTTTAGTAAAATAGTAAGTTCTCCATGTTCCTTGTTGATTAATTTTAACTTGAGCTTAGCTAAAGCTTTTTTTTGAGTAATGTATAACTGTATTTGTCTATAAAATTAATTTTTCTAATGATTTTATTTTATTGTTGAGAGCGGGCACCTGTCAAATGTTACATATTACATTATTATAATACAAGTAACACTTATATATGGTAATATCTGAACCGCAGATTAAAACATGTTTCTTTTATGCCTGTTTTTCGGCAGGCTTCGCTGCTTGTCTAGTTATAATATAGAACTTGTATTGTTGTAAAGTAAAAAGAACAGTATCTTCGCTCACCGAGTCTATGTCCGAGCTCCCCCGTCATGTCAAGTCTGACAAAACGCCCTACAATCACGCTCCTCACCAACCACCGAAGACAATGTAAACCTTTGCTGATGCTTGCTGCCACTGTCTTGGTCTCACTGCTTGTGCTGGTCTCTGACCACTGGACGCGCCTGATCGTCCAAGTTTCCTACCCGGCTGGTCCAGGAGTATGGGGCTCTAATACCACCAGACGCTTTACGACACTGCTGTCAAAGGGATTGGTGAGTATGAGTTCTGCATATGTGCGGTGTGACAACATAACATCTGTACAAAATACAGTTTGGCTAATAAATCAGTTTTAAATTAAACTAGCTGAAAACTAAATCACTCTGTTTTTCCCACGTTTTGACCACTTTACGAAGTTTTCCCGGATATGCCGAGTTTTTTTTTAAATAAAATGTCAAAACACCAGTCCTCTTTTCAAAGTACGCTCTATGCTCGAGTATAAGGAAATGTATTGTACATTAGCCACTAACTACTGAGATAATTTAAATTATATTTACTAATAATGCATCACTAAGATAGATAAGGTGGGACGGCGTGGCCTAGACGTAGAGCGCTAGACTGCTAACCCGGAAGTCTCCATTTTGATTCCGGGTTCAAGTCAGTAGAACGTCCCTGAGTCCACTCAGCTTTAATCGGTATAACTCACGTTAAGGTTGGTAGTGCTTACTACACTATCCCTTCATATGCCAAGGTCACAGAAACAGCTGAACTCCACTTCACTTGCTTTATGGATCGTCAAGTCGAAAAGAGAACTTAACTTTTACTGAGAAGGATGGCTCGAATGACAGCTAGGCACTATCTTTAATCTACAAGTTGTTAATAAAGATCGTTAACTTGTAGACACGTGCAATTTCTATATTAACACAATTTTTAAATTATGATTTTTTGAAGGAAACATTTCAGCCAATCGATGAGACCGATGGTTGGGCTTACTCCGCCTACTACGACACCTATGCCAACAACGTCACACTTATTCGGGTCATAGGAATAGCCTCAGTCTCAAACCGCACGGTCTACTGTCACGTGGTTCAGGACGGGCACGTGACAATCATCGCCGGCAAATATTTGTTTGTAGCACAGCAACAGCGAAAAAGGTAGAAAATTATGTCATTAGCACCAGTACTTACGTGCCGCGCAATAACGACATTTGACCAATAGCATGTGCCATATTGTAATATTGGGCATAATCGTACAACAATATAACGGCTACTGACGGTGATGACAATTTTTAACTCGGAAAACGTAGAAAGAAAACGAAACCGGCGGTAATATAAAAAAATAAAAAGAATTATGAAACAAATATTAGTATTAGAATAAAATATGAAGAAATTTCTAAACTCACTGAATATAATGAAATAAAACAAACTTGCCGTCTTTATTAAATAAAAGCATTGGTCGATCATTAAATCTGTCACACATTTTATTTTTAGCGACCACTTCTGCGATTTTATTAAAGAAAGCGAGTTTTTTTTTTACTAAATTTTAAGTGCATTTAAAAGCGTACTGCTATGGATGTTTTTTTTTTAATTTATATATTTGTTTTATTCTTGCCTTGCTGTACTTATGATTTTTTTAAAAAAGTAAATCCTTCGTCGATACTTACATTTTTAAAAACATTTACTTCATTTTTTTTTACTTCATTCTTTTAAAAAATCGACAGCAAATACGACTGGGAAATAAAATACTTAAAAAAACTTTTTAAAAAACCACGTTTTTCTTGTGGACTAAAAAGTAGAAAATAACTATTTACATACATTTGATGACAAAAAACGTGGGTACGTTCACCATCAAATTTCCCGACCCATCTGCCCGACCCACGTTTTTTGTCATCAAATGTATGTAAATAGTTATTTTCTACTTTTTAGTCCACAAGAAAAACGTGGTTTTTTTAAAAAGTTTTTTTTAAGTATTTTATTTTCTCCTTTTTAGTCCGTTGCTACACATGAAAAACGTGGTTTTTAAAAAGTTTTTTATATAGTTTATTTTCTACTTTATCTAATCACTTGATTAAGTATGACTTGACTAAGTGTTTTTAAATACACGGACTAAAAAAATCTTGAGCGACCGATACGCTTTAAACAGAGAAAGGGTGTAATTTACGTTGCTGGCGTGGAGATCTACTCACGAATCACGTGATCAAATCTCCCATAAACAAACAAATAAACGCGAAGCTGAGTTAAGGAAAAACGTGTTTATGTGTATTTTAGCATGCCCAGCGTACCAACCGTGTCACCGTTAACAATATGTTACCGTGTCCGTTCTCCTTTTTAGTCCGTTGCTATACATAAAAAACGTGTTTTTTTTTAAAGTTTTTTTTAAGTATTTTATTTTCTCCTTTTTAGTCCGTTGCTACACATGAAAAACGTGGTTTTTAAAAAAGTGTTTATAAATACACGGACTAAAAATCTTGAGCGACCAGGATTTGAACCTGGGTTGTCGCGGCCACAACGCGAAGTACTAACCACTATACGATCACGGCCAGCGCGCTCACATCGATTGGGGCCGAAGTAACTGTGTCGATAGGCTTCCAGTCTTGTCGGTATCTTTAGAAATCATGTCCTCAATTTTATGGTCCTTGGGGCGTAATTAAATTAAGCTAATTACGGTCACTAATTGCTAGTTTTTATGATTGCATCTGAAATTGTTAGGCGAAAGTAGCATGCATGCCAAATTTCAGGTCTCTAGAGCAATCAGAAGTGGGCTAATTTTCGATGTCAATTTTAACAACAAACATCCAAACAACCAAACAAACAAACAAACGCGAAGCTGAGTTAAGAAAAACGTTTTAAAAAATATTCGTTTGCTTTAAATTTAAAACCCGAAAATGTTATTGTCTTCGAGTGCAAATGTATCAGGGCGAAAAGGCTGGATTAGAGACTGGTCATACATAAGCTACAACGTTAGCCGCAAATAGGTGGACAGAAAGAACGACAAAACGTGTTAACTAAAAAAGTTAATAAAAGCTAAGGTTTAATTAAATCACGAATAAAGGAAAGTAACTATATGTTTCGCAATTTATTATCGATAATTTCCCCTTACATGTAATGCTCGTAAATCCCAATAGTTTTTAAAAAAACGGTTGTATGTTATACATAAATTGGCACCAATAAATAAATGCCACAATTATCATGAACTTCTAAAGATATACAAAAGTGTTGGAGGGAAGGGGAACTTCTAAAAACGAGAGGTCTTTTCTAAAAATAAAGAATGTATTTTTTATATCAGGTACGTGGCGACGATGTTTGAATGTTTTGTAGGACAACACTTCAAGCCAACCTCCATCTCTATCACATACAAGTCTGACGTCACACCGACCAATCTTTTAGAGATTCAGTACCCCAAACAAAGGGAGAGAAACTTTACAGTGTGTTACCCCGCTTTGTTTGGTTACAATAACATCTCTAGAATTATCCAGGCCATCGAGATCAACAGAGTCCTTGGCGCCCAGCATTTCTTCATCTACAACTACAGCATCTCTCGGGAAATGGATGCAGTGCTGCGTCACTATCAGGATGAAGGCGTCCTCACAGTCCTGCAATGGCCGCTACCTTTAGATGACGTCAAGGACATTTGGTACTACGGTCAGATGAGCGCCATCAACGACTGTGTGTACCGCAACAAGTTCGTATCCCAGTACGTGGTCATACAAGATCCTGACGAGTTGATCATACCAAACCATCACATGACCTGGTCAGACCTGATCGAGGCAGCGGAACTTGAATATCAAAATAAACACAAGGCCAATGCCAGACCTCTAGGATCATTCACGTTTGAATCCGCTTTTTTTGACACTTTATCAAATTCCACCTTGTGGGATCAGGTTAAGAAAAATTTCTCCATCACAACAGACGAAGAAAATTTCTTTAAAAAATATTTGATTTTTCCCCTTTACCATTTCATTAGACAGTCCAGCATTTACAAATTTCCCACGAGAACAAAAACCATTGTGAGGCCCGAGCACGTTCTCGTGAGCAGTATCCACTACACCCAGGTGCACAGGAACAGAGCAACTCGCAGCGTGGTCAGCAACGACCTGGCCATCGTCCATCACTACAGGCAACAGAAGGGTGTTACTTGCAACGTCACGGACACGTCAGCACTTAGATTTAAACAATTGACTTACCCCTCCTTGAATGCTGCCTTTAAGACATTCTCTCACCTGTTGAAACGAAATCACTAAAGAGCCACCAATGTCTGAACGCAACTTTTGTAATCTTTTGTATTATTAATGCGAAGCCAGTAAAAATAAACCGGGAGTGATCTCCCCTAAACTTTCTCGAATATTTTTATATAAAACGACAGGGGATGGGAACTCGAGCTATAGACATGATCTTTAATCCATTTTAAATACTTAAAGTTTTAAAAATAGAATAAAATCTCGTAGACAAAAGAATTGCACACCAAGTGAACGCTAAATAAAAAAGTGCATAATAGTGCGCAATATTATTAGTACTTTAAAAATTTACATTAGTTTTTTGAGAAATCGGAAGTAGCGTAAATTACTACTTCCGTTCAACGGAAATGACTCAAAATTTAACAGAATGTAGAGAATTAGATCTTTTACTTACATGTGAAATTTCGTTTATCTATCTGAAATAGTACTCAAGTTATAGGCTTTTGAAAATTTCAAAGTAGGAAAAGTACCACTTCCGGTTATCGGAAATCGCTCAAAAGTTGATACGGATCTACGATTTTGATAAAATACTTATATATGAAATTTCATCAACCTAGCTGTAACGGTGCTCAAGTTATCGTGTTTACACACACACACACACACAGACATACGGGACAAGATTGCAAAATTATGTTTTTCCGTATCAGTGAGATGTAAAACGTCGAGATGTGTAAAAATCTCGATTTTTTTTTTGCACGATTACAATACTTTCTCTATACTTCGTATATACGAGAAAGTGAAAATGGATCGAGAATAAACGATATACGTTTTCGGTTAACTTATTTTAAAGTAATAGTAAAAGTACAAAAATAAATAATAACATCATTGTTAGCTTTGTTTCTAGAAAACGTATTGTCTAAACGTAAATTCAAACGAAAGAACGTGTATAATGGAGAATGTGTTTTAAAGTGGCGGTGGTTGTTGATCTCGAAAAATACCTTCTCATCACAACTATCTGGGTGTTCGTGTGGGTCACACTTAAAATGTTCCGAGTTTTTCTTACGGTAGACAGCGCAGATTTCAACAGACTTGCAGATTATGTACCACGGTCTGTGTCAATATCGAACTATTTTTGATGATCACCAGTGTTTCTTCCAGAATATTTTCTCCGGGGGGGGGGGGGGGGGTGGAGTAAAATTTCCGGGGGCTGACACTGTTAAAAGTATATATTTACTAAATAAATTCCATTTCGGGGGGGGGTAGACTTCTTCTTTTTCTCTCCTCCCCCCCCCCCCCCTCCCCACGAAGAGATGCCTGGAAGACTCTGATGATCACTGTAAAGGTTTTCTTGCAGTGTTTGGTGTACTGATACCAAAATGGATTGTTCGGTGTGACGTCAGGCTTTTGTTTTTTTACACAGATGGAGGTTGGGTAGCCGTTACCAAAAGAAACCCATAATCTATTTGTTATCAAATTTTGTAGTATAATACTTGTATTGTAAATGTTAATTTTGCTGAACGATGTAATTATTTATGATATTATTGCCTTATATGACTTTTTATTTCCAATATCTCTCGTTGTGTAACCATCCGTATCTAGATGAATATAACAGTACACCGTACGGTATTTGCGTGAGGTCATTCTCATGACTCTAATCCAGGGGCGGAACTATAGTGCCGCCAGACCCCGCAATGCGGGGGGGGGGGGGGGCACGCCATTTAGGGGCCCAGAGCCGACCATAATAAAAAAAATTTATAGTTAAAAAAAAGTAAATTTTCTTTTATTTTTAACTTGATGGTTGTTTTGTAAAAAGTTACCATAGCTGCGGTTGTATTATCTTTATTCTATAGACACCACCCCACGCTCTTGTATATTCTTTTTCCCTTTGTTTTTAAACCACTGTGAAAGCCGAGTCTTTCTCCTACAATTAAACTTATCAAAGATAAGCAAATGTTCAAACCACTTCCATGACTTATTTCCCTTTTTTTTGAAAATAGTCAAATAGGGGTGAGCATAAGCTCCTTTTAATAGATTTGTACAAAACAAATTAAAAACCAATTACTTCTCTTAATTATTATTTTCTAATAAGTAATTACTAAAGAATGACATACTATAAAAAGGAAATGTATTAAATCAATAATATTTAAAAAATTAATAATTTAAATACAAAAACATAAAAATAAACATAACACGAGACACCAGTACTTATACAAAGCTTTTATGTTTTATATTATTTTGACCGACCAAATTTTAAGAGGGCTTATATCAAAAATTAATTAAAATTGATTTTATGCACTTACACACATGACCTGATGCTGAAATTTCTTTTAATTTATGCTTTTCAAATCCCGAACAGGCCAGCAATCAGTATCCTATTTTTGTATTTTATGATATATATATATATATATATATATATATATATATATATATATATATATATATATATATATATATATATATATATATATATATATATATATATATATATATATATATATATATATAGGCCTATATATATATATAGAGGGGGGCTAAAAAAAGTTTTTTGCGGGGTGGCCCTTTTTTTTAGTTCCGCCACTGCTCTAATCACTGTCCAGTTGGGGCTCATTAAGTCATAGTAGGCGGAGTAAACCTAATCAACATTTGTCGTTGAATAATTGAAATGTATTCTTAAGAGTCTTTTGATTCGAGCTTCTGTTGTTGTTTTTTTTTTTTCAGATATAAAACTATTAAAACTCCTCTATTTAGAATATTCCAAAGTTACTTTATGAAATTAACTTCATTGTAGGGTCTAAACAATTGACACGTGTAATCAAACCCAAGACAAGCAAAATGTTGCAAATACATCTTCTTTCTATAAAAACTAATTGGCTTATGATATAATTATTCCTCACTCTGACTCTTTGATAGCAGCTAACATAGATTGTCGCTAGAGCTAGAGCTACGCCTGGCCGGAACGGCTACTCAAATTTTAAAAGTGGTTTGAAGTGGGGAAGGGGGGGGGGGAGGTTCATTAGAAAAAGACCTAGCTCTTCAAGCTTTGGAATGGTGTTCCCTCTCTGGTTTGCCTGAGACTTAAGAAAAATAGGCGTCAGGTAGAATTCTGATCACTTGACGTTGGTAAAATACTGGATGAAACGCTAGCTCACTCACAACGATACAGTATCGCGTGTCGTTGCTATATGATTGTTAAATGTCTTGTGCCTAAGAGTGGCCGAATCACTTCCATTTGATTTTACAAACGTTTCTGACATATTTTCTACCTCGGCTGAATGAACAGGATCATATTTTAACTGCCAGTTTTATTGATTTTTTTCGACATACCTTGAGTACAGTTTTTATTTTCTTCTCTAATGATGAACCTCAAGTCTAACTTATAGTGTTAACCACTACTATCTACATTAACTGTCTTAACTTTTTAAATCGATATGTACAATTGTTCATATAGTTTATAGCTTTTCAGTGTGGCGTTTACGGGCAATGAAAACTATCTAAAAATCTATTATCAAAGCTAAGTAAACATCCGGCCCTGAAAATTGGGTACTCGGAAAATAATAACACTGCATTGTCGTTAAAATATGTTAATAGACTGATAAGAATAATGAAAGAGTTTTATGTAGTCTTTCAGAGACAATTGATCTTGGTACAGAGTGGTGTATTGTGTGATTTCCTGGTGATTGTGGCTAATCATTTTGTTTTAGTAGGTGAGAAAATTTCTCAAAGCTAGCGGTCAACAAGGGGTAAGCGAGTGGTTTAAATCTAAGTGCTGACGTGTCAGTGAGGGTGCAGTGTCTGTCTGCCCTGTAATGATGGACGATGGCCAGCTCGTTGCTGACCAGGGTATAGTTAGTGCTGTCTCTGTGGGCGTGGGTGTTGTGGATACCGCTCACGAAAATGAGTTCAGGCCTCACAATAGATTTTACTCTCGCGGGATATTTCAGAACGCTGGATTGTCTTGCCAAATGGTAAAGGGGATAAATCAAATATTTTTTGAAGAAATTTTCTTCGTCTGTTGTGATGGAGAAATTATTCTTGATCTGTTCCCACAAGGTGGAATTTGATAATGTCTTGAAATAAGCGGATTCAAACGTGAATGATCCTAGAGGTCTGGCATTGGCATTGTGTTGGTTTTGATATTCAAGTTCCGCTGTCTGGATCAGGTCTGACCAGGTCATGTGATGGTTTGGTATGATGAACTCGTCAGGATCTTGTATGACCACGTACTGGGATACGAACTTGTTGCGGTACACACAGTCGTTGATGGCGCTCATCTGACCGTAGTACCAAACGTCCATGACGTCATCTAACGGTAGCGGCCATTGCAGGACTGTGAGGACGCCTTCATCCTGATAGTGACGCAGCACTGCATCCATTTCCCGAGAGATGCTGTAGTTGTAGATGAAGAAATGCTGGGCGCCAAGGACTCTGTTGATCTCGATGGCTTGGATAATTCTAGAGATGTTATTGTAACCAAACAAAGCGGGGTAACACACTGTAAAGTTTCTCTCCCTTTGTTTGGGGTACTGAATCTCTAAAAGTTTGGTCGGTGTGACGTCAGGCTTGTATGTGATAAAGATGGAGGTTGGCTTCAAGTTTTGTTCTACAAAACATTCAAACATTGTCGCTGTGTACCTGGAATGAGAAATACATTTTAATTATTATTTAGACAATAAAAGGTTGCGTTTTTTTCGCCTACTTTTTAGTTTTGCTCTATTTCCTTGGGAGCGGATAACTTGAGTTCAGTTTTAATTAGGGTAAACTCAATTTCATATAAGTGTCAGCTCCTATACTTGAACTGCGTTCGTTTTTGAGTTACTTTCTATATCCGGAAGATTTAATTTCCTCTGCTTCTTGTTGCTAAAATACCGATAACATGACCGTAGCATGTAATTGGAATACATTTCTTACATAAGTATTACATCTTATTGTCTGGTTTCTCTCAAATTTTAGTGCTATCCGGTGACAGGAAGTTGTACTTTTAGCTATTTCCGAATAATCAAAAACATAAGAATTTATTTATCTTGATTTTCTTGTCTTTCGAGCAAAATTTCGATTACTTGAACCTGAACGATTTTTTTTAAAACTTTACACGTAGGTCAAGACTTGAAGACAATGCATTGTCACAGAAAATTTGACTTGTATATCGTTCCTTAATAAAACACTAATTTTTGGCACACATTAATTGCGTTCATTCGGTGCGCAATTATTATTTCTACGTTATTTTCCCCCCAATAACAAAGTATAATATACTGAAAGATTAGGGGAGTTCACTCCCGCCTTAAGGGTCATCCATAAATGACGTCCCGCTTTTTTTTTGACGTTTTTTTTACCTCCCCTCCCCCTTCCCTCCGTCACACGTCGTCACAAAAAGCCAGACCCCCCCCCCCTAAAATGACGTCACACCTCAGCCTACAACCCCCCCACCCCACCCCCCTCAAAATTGCTGTCAGAACTCTGTCAACATAGAGTATTTTAATCAATTCCTATTACAATTTATTAATACCGTTTTCTAAAACGCGAAATAACGGCTAAAACTCGTTTTCTAACATTGCTTTTTTATAATGCAAAAAAGTGACGTCACACCATCTGACCCCCTACCCTCATCAGACACAGTCACAAAATTACGGACCCCCTCCCCCTACGAGTGTGGCGTCATTTATGGACGACCCCTTATTGTTCATTGTCTTTTTCGTCAGCAGACTCGGACTGTGCTTTCTTGTGATAGTTGTGCGGCACTTAAGTACACGCGCTTCTGTTTTTATGCTTATATCTACCTTTTTCTGTGATCATCTGGTAGAAAAAAATGTTTTCCTATGGTAATCGTGAAGTTTCCGTCCTTTACCACGTGACAATATACTGTCTTTTTGGAACGTGATGCTATGCCTATGAGCCGAATTATTGTGACATTGTTTGTATACTTGTCGTAGTAGGCGGAGTAAACCCAAGCATCGGTCTCATCGATTGGCTGAAATTTTTCCTTCAAAACATGAAACAAAACATGGTATTTTATATTAGCCTTAACTAGGGTGTAAATTAAATGATAGTTTATTTCACTGTGTATTTAGTAGCAAGAGCCTAGCTGTGATGGTTTAATAAATTACGAACTAAATATCTACGTCGACGTAAATTCTGACTTCATGATAGGCTTTGTAAAAAAAGGTGGTGTTTATTTGAATATTTACGGTGATTTTTTTAAGCTTCTACCTCGTCAGGCAGAGGAGCTTAACAATTTAAAAGAAACATAGGATATAATTCCTTGGAAATACGGTTTATTTCCTTCAATCTATAGCTATCCCATGGCACTGTTACTCCCTAACCCTCCCTATCAAAACGTCATTCACGCCGAAGTTAACAATCGTAGAGCCGGGTCGAATTAGTTATGGCGATTTGGTGCAGATAATTTAGTTTTTAAACGATTTGAAACTAAGGGAAGGTAGCAAGTTCTGCTTGATCTTTTCACTGTCGTTTGTAAACTGTCATTACGGAAGGCTGCTTTCGCTGGGGGGGGGGGGGGGGGGATTCACAAATTGGGAATTACTGGAAAGTAGAAGATAAAACAACTAAATAGCGGGTCGGCTCGTAATAAAAATGTACGTATCTTCAAGTGCAGACTCCATCCCGCTCCCCCAATTTTGATCGATCTTAATGTTGAGTCTTAATAAAAAAAAAACACCTGCTATAGTAAAACTCATACTCACCCATATCTCTGGAGACTTTTCTCGTATTGTGATTACGATATATTTAGCCGTCTGCACTGCAAATGTCGTCTGCACTGGAAATGTCGAAGAACTTCTTGTGGTGCTTGAGGTACCAGCTCCTGGGCCAGTCTCCTCACTCTTCATAACCACGACCGTTGGGCGAGGCCACTGGTCCATGACGTGATCAGAGACCAACACTAGCAGTGAGACTGAGACACTGACAGCAAACACCAGCAACGGCTTACTTTGTCTCAGGTGGTTGGTGATGAGGATGAGGATGAAGCGGTCCTTCACTCTTGTCATGATAGAGGGGGGTCCGACCAGCTATTCGACGTGGGCCTTTACTTTAACTGGTTATAGGGGTAGATCAGTATAACTGGTTATGGTAGGGTGCCACTCGGAGAAACCTGCTGTGATGTGTAATCTTCACATGCGGGATTTGGACTAAATTGTTCTTTTTACCTTAAAAAATACATGCTCTGTGTTATACTTAGACTTGAGCAGAAAACCCTGTCGAATCAAAGTAATTTGTACTCAAATGTTTGCCGATAAAAATTTTAAATAAATTTATGTTTTTAAATCTAGTTATGCTATGTTTATTTACATTTACAGTGACAAAATTAAAACAACCAAGTTGTTTTTGGCTTTTTTTTTTTAAATTCTCTTTAGTTACCGAAAATTCTAAAAACATTAAATACATCACATTTTTAGTCAGACAAAATCCAACCAGTCATGATATTTATAACCATAATTATTTTAATAACATGGTACACGATTTTTTTAAAATATATTAAAATGGCTTTCGAATAATTTCGAGTCAATGTACAGGTTCACTAACTGTTCGGTGGATGCTAGAAATATAGTTCTTATTTTGAATGTAAGAAAATATTTAAATAAGGCTTTATAAAAAGTGTTTAATACATAATGCATAAAAAGTAAATTTGCTGCAAAAAGTACATGCTCCAATCCCTTATGGGCAGGTTAAACCCCCAAATTGAAATTTAGGTGTTAGGACTTTTTTGAGTGATAAGGAAGTTGTAACTAACATAGTATATGAAAAAAATGCAAAAAAAAATCACTAAAAAGTTATGGCTTTGTGAAAATATTTTCTAAAAAGTGTCATTTTTAGGGTACAATAGCTCAAAATTATCTCTCATTGAAATCAAAATAACACAGCTTCTGTTTGTCAGAATAACTCAAATCTTTAACATAGTGTAATATACGCAATTACAAAAAAAGATGAACTAAAACAATTAGAAAATAATAAAAAATGGATTTTAGCCAAATATTTTAAATGTGAGACCTAAAAAATTTCCAAAAAGTAGGGAATAGACTTAGCTATTTATTTATAAAATGAGAAGTTTCAAAGATATAAAAATTATTTTAGTTCAACTTTGCAAGCAGTGTTTAGTAAACATGTGTGCAAAATTGCAGCTAAATATATCAAGTAGTTTTTGAGTTATAGTGATTTAACTAGTATAATTTTGTTGAAAAGTAACATTTTGAGAAAAACGCTAAATAGTGAAAAATATACTAAATTTGAAAAAAAAACGAGAAAAAGCGAAAACTATATCAAATAAGTCATTTTTAAAACCTCCCAGTTACATAAATAGCATCTGGAGCCTCTTACTCAGCAATAAGAACATCTATTTTAGTTAGTTTTTAATTTTATGTTGCTAAATATTGCTTAATATAGGTCAATTACGTCATTACTCTCATTAATTAAAAAATTATTAAAAAATACTAGCAATACAAAATTTTGCAAAACGGTTATACAAAAATGTTCAAAATATAATGTAGTTTCATAAACAATAGATTTTCAAAAATCAACATTTCTGACTTAAATGTGTATTTGGGGGGGGGGGGGGGGGTTAACCTGCCCTTAAGTCGAGACCATTGTATTGTTATCGGGTTAATATAGGGTAAGCTTACCTTGCACCAATGTGTATTCTAGTAGAGCAGACAACATTGAATGTTTTAAAGTCTCTTACCTGCTTAAAAAAAATATTTTTCTCCCTATTAACACACCACCGTAAGGTTGGCGGTAGCCCGCTCTCCCCTAGCTACCCCTCTGCTTCTGTTACTAACACCATTGTATTGGAGTAAAAATCTATCGTGTGACGACGATTTTTGGTTCAAGTCAACCGCTGACTAGATCCGATCTAATCCTTTGAGAAACTGTTGCCGCATATAGCAATGAATCAAATGTGGGCGTATTGGTATAAGTTTTTAACACCCATCTCAAGTTTGGTTGACCAGAAAGTACTGGGTAGATAAAAGTGATAGTGCAAGAGGTGGCTGACACTTTTATGGGAGATATTGATTTCTGTATGGACGGGATCATAGCCGTATTTTGAAATGAATGTCCCTCCCCCGACAATGGGATGACGACAAAATAGCCACCGACAAAGGGACTGAAGATTAATATGGCTGCCAAAAAAACTGGCTTCTTATATGAGTCCTTATGACCTACATGAATTCAGCACTTGGGTTGGTGATTGATTCGTATATAACACAAAGGCGGCTGGACCAGATGGAAGAGATTTTTGTTATTATCTTTTGTGTTATAACTGTTTACATCCAGGCTTTAGTAGTATCGTGGGTTTTTTTTTAATATAGATATTCGCCCTTTTTTTCCTTATTAATCGTAGTATTGAAGGGGATTTCCTCCAACCCAATTAAGCATTAAGTATCAACATGTTATGCGCCATATGACCCTTCAACTTCAGCCTGCTTATGTTTTTGGATTTACTTCCATGGCCTTGTCCATCCAAGAATAATCAGATGTATTTGAACAAACCATTCTTGGTGTTGGTACATTGTTGATCTCGTAAACCGCGAAAAAAAGTGAGTTTTAAAAAGAACAAAAGGGTGGTTTAATGTCATATCATAAAACGCCACACTCAACTGTCCACAATAAAAATCACTAGCGGTCCCGGCCAGGCGCTGCTCAAGCTACTTAATGTCCAACATGGTGCACATATTAAATAACAAGTGTCACAGTTTCCCCTTACAAACTTCCAAGATTAAAGAAATGCTTACGTGAAATTCGTGCCCCCTTGGAAATGTAAAAATAAATTGTTAAATAAAAAGTAGTACAAAGGGGTAAAAGTAAAATCCACCCAATATATGAGAGAGAAAAAGTCTCACATGAAAGCTAGCCGCACTGGCAAAGCACTGCTCTAGCTGTTTAGTGGTCAATATCAACAATGTTAAGCTATTTGAGCCACTATAGAGTTATTCTGAATCATGTAAGTATTTTTAACAGAATTCTGTGCACCACTTTTGTCATAACTCTTTACTTAGACTAAATGAGGCTTAGTATATCTTTTTTAATATTTGGAATTTTGAAGGTAAAATATCAAATCAAATATCTCAGTACCATTTTGTTTATGCCCACTTTATTGGTTTTTCATAAACAAATTTAAGGAGCGATTTAATTTTTATTGTTGATCGTTTCTGCAAGGGGACAACTAATGCTATTGAACACCGTTGTTTCTTTGTGTTTTTTTTAAAGCCGGGTTCTTTTTTTTTTTTTTAATAGTGCCAACAAGTAATCATATTAAATTCTCTATCTAACTAGTAACTTACACATCTGAGTAAGTTTTATATGAAACTTGTAAAAAAAAAAAAACTCCCACACATTTGTTCAATTAAAATGTTTATTTGAAATTTGATTCATTTTCGCCAAATAAATAATGAAGACCAATGTTTATTTTAAGCTCATAAGCCATGAATTACAATAAAATTATGTAAGTCTTATTGAAAATTGTGTTATTAAAGTGAGAAAAAATACATAGCGTGGTACTTTGGCGTATGCATGTGTTTCTACACATCAGTGAATAAATTCGGCTTTGATTCTCCCCCCCCCCCCCCCCCCCATTTCGGCAAAATTCATGCGTGTCCCCGTTCCGATAAATCGTTCACGGTCTTCGATTTCATATAAACTGTAACCATCTGTTGCACCAACCAACTCTCACTCTCACCCACGCTACCTGTCTATCTCACTGGTTGGTTGGCCTAAGTCACGTGGTAAGCCTTAAACAGCATTGATAGCTGTTATTTGCCCTTCTCCAGTGCACAATAGATTTTTTTTAGCCTTCGCAAAATAGCCCAATTATTGCAAAGAAATTGCAAATCAACCACGACAGTTTTAAGGTCTGAATTAGGCGTTCACATTCAACACAGTTAGGCATTTAGCAAAGTGGACAACATCAAAATCTTAGGTGTCGGCGTGGTCGAGTCGGTAAAAGCTTATGGTTGCTAAACCGAAAAGTCTCGACTTCGAGCCCTCGGGCAGATGAGGTTCGTTTGCTGGGGACAGCCACTCTTCTAGAATAGACAACTCCTAAATAAAACAACTGCTGCCTTGTAGTTTGTTCTTGGTTGGACAAAGGCTATGGAAGCAAATCCAAAATGAAAAGCAGGCTGAAAATTGGAGTCAATGGCCTCAATGGCGCATAACCAGTTGACACTTATACTTGACTGTGTTTGAGGGGATCCCTTCCAACACTAAAGTTAAGAAAGAAGAAGAAGATCAAAATAGTAACCCCATTAAGTAGCGTCTTTTTTTAAAAATCGATACACAATATTTTTATGTTATATTAAAGAAACATGAAAAATATTTAAAATCTATAATCAAAGCTTCGTAAAATTCGGCCATGAAAAATGGGTACTCGGAAGATAATTACTGTGTTAATTGTCGTCTAAACAGTTTAATGGACTGACAATATGATGAACGAGTTTTGTGTAGTCTTTCAGAGATAGGTATTGCTTGCTGTAGGGCGTTAACTGGGGGATTTGCTGGTGACTGTGGCTGGTCATTCTGTTTTAGCAGGTGAGAAAATCTCTCAAAGCTAGCAGTCAACAAGGGGTAGGCCTGTTGTTTAAATCTAAGTGCTGACGTATCGATGAGGGTGCTAGGTTTTTCATTCCAGTAATGATGGACGATGGCCAGATCGTTGCTGACCACGGTATAGGTAGCCCTGTTCCGGCGTGTTTGGGTGTAGTGGATACCGCTCACAAGAATGTGTTCGGGCCTTACAATGGTTTTTGTTCTGGTGGGAAATTTGTAAACCCTGGATTGTCTTACAACCTGGTTAAATGGAAAAATAAAATATTTTTTAAAGAAATTTTCTTCGTCTGTTGTGATGGAGAAATTATTCTTGATCTGTTCCCACAAGGTGGAATTTGATACCGTCTTGAAATAAGCGGATTCAAATGTGAACGACCCTAAAGGTCTGGCATTGACATTGTGTTGACTTTGATATTCAAGTTCAGCTGCCTCGATCAGGTCTGACCAGGTCATGTGATGGTTTGGTATGATGAACTCGTCAGGATCTTGTATGACCACGTACTGGGATACAAACTTGTTGCGGTACACACAGTCGTTGATGGCGCTCATCTGAGCGTAGTACCAAACGTCCATGACGTCATCTAACGGTAGCGGCCATTGCAGGACTGTGAGAACGCCTTCATCCTGATAGTGACGCAGCACTGCATCCATT